GCGGATAGAGCATACAGACCAGCCCCATAACCTGGCATCATTAAATTTCCTCTCAGTTAAAAATGTCAATGTTCACTGCTCTGCTAGACCAAACAGCTGAATTGTGCAGTCAATCCCTTTAAGAAAAGTCATCCAGTTCCACAAAACTGTTCTCACTTTAAAGGATGAACAGCAGCACACACACACACACACACACACACACACCCGCCCCAGTTATGGGATAGCAATTATACTGAGGTTTTCCAGTGCAGCAAAACTTTATTTCACATTGATAACACAAAGGAAGTGTGTGACTGCCCTCAAGTATTTTTCCCACAGAATAAGCAGAAAGGTTAATAAAGGGCAGCCGAGCCACTGAAGTAAAATTTCAGCAAGGGAAGATGACTTACAAAATCACATTTTAATTTTCCAACATAACAGGCACAATTGGTGTGCATCTGTACGTAACAGCAAAAGCACACATCTTTGGCATATGCTGCGAAGAGATCCTGAATTTTGGAAACTGGCTGAGACACCATGATGCCCTCTTAATTACTTCATCCCATTTCACTGTCTGCTTCACTCATCTAAGGAGTGAGCTGGCTGCATGGACAGAGCCAGGGGGCCCCGGGAGGGGCAGCTGCCCCCCAAAAACATAGTAATAAAAAATACATAACTAACTGAGGTTCTGCCCCCCCCCAAAAAAATCCGGGCTATGCCTTTAGTTGGCTGGCTGATTAACGTTAGCATGCATATAAAAGTCAGGAACAATGTATAGGATAGCAAATCATGTAACCAATCAGACATATGAAAAATAATACATTTTTACCTAAGTTTCTTTTATATAATAGGAACATAAGAAGCTGCCTTATACTGAGTGAAACCATTAGTCCATCTAGCTCTGTACTGTCTACACTGACTGGCAGCAGCTCTTCAGGATTTCAGGCAGAAGTCTCTCCCAACCCTACCTAGAGATGCTGCGGATTGAACCTGGGGCCTTCTGCTGGCAAGGCTGGCCCTTCCCATAATTAACGTATTTTTTGCTCTATAAGACTCACTTTTTCCCTCCTAAAAAGTAAGGGGAAATGTGTGTGCGTCTTATGGAGCAAATGCAGGCTGCACAGCTATCCCAGAAGCCAGAACAGCAAGAGGGATTGCTGCTTTCACTGCACAGTGATCCCTCTTGCTGTTCTGGCTTCTGAGATTCAGAATATTTTCTTTCTTGTTTTCCTCCTCCAAAAACTAGGTGCGTCTTGTGGTCTGGTGCGTCTTATAGAGCGAAAAATACAGGTACTTCTTTCTTTCTCTCTCTTTTGTTTGTTATAAATTGCTTCTAAAGTGGTCTACAATAAGATAAAATACAAAAGATTACCAACTCAATAAACTGAAAGCGCTAAAATAATTTCTACAGCTGCCCAATTAATATTCCAGGGGAAACCTTCTTAAAGAAAAATGTATTTAATAGCTACCTACAAGTCTTACACAATTATATTCTTATTATAAGGCAGGGAGTAAAGGTCTAATCATTAAAGTACACAATGATCAGCCATAAGGGTGTCTGCTTCTGTGGCTTATGAGTAACCATGCATTTCATATGAATGTTCCTATCCTGAAATGTATTTTCCCCCAAGAAAGTATTGTCACTTTGATAGGGTTAATTTTCAAATAAGCTTGATTAGGATCACATCCTTATATTAACCTTCAGCAGCATTTAAATTGGATCACTCCTTCCCGAGTCTCCTCTCAATGGCAGCAGGTAACATTCTGGCACTGGGAAGAGAAGTTTAATGTCAGGGACTGGCTGGAGAAGGAAGAGTGGTGGCAGCCAGTGGTCCAGGAGGAACCTGAGGGGGGAGGGGATTTTGAACCAGGGAGGAATCATCAGCAGAGAGTGAGAGTGAAGGGGAGAAGTTTGAGTAGCCACAGGCGCTGGTAAGAGAAGGAGCAGGGCTGCATCTTCTGCTCTGCAACAGAGTCCTGTTCCGCTCCTTCTCCTCCCCCACTCTCAGGACAGGAAAGAAGGGTTGAGAAAACGCTAGAACATGGCTGTGTGAAGAATCTCTGGATGTATATGCTGGTCTTCCGCCCACTGTCATCCCCACCGGCCACATCAACTGCTGCTCCCCAGACCAAGCTCTTCCCAGGCAGAGTAATATTTTGCTCCTATTGGTACTAAATGAGGCGTAACTACCCCCCAGAACCTTCTGGCCTGAAGGCCCTGGAAAGAGTCCCAGAACAGCCACACAGGATTTAAAATCGCTATTAGTCTCAATTTTAGCAACAAAGTCAAACTAAAGCATTACAAAATTACTGATTTTTATTGTTTTTGGCAAAGATTTCCAGTACAGAACCAGGTTACATTTCAAGGATGCAACCCATTCATTGTGCCACATCCCTGGTTGTTTCTAATACATAATACTTCCCGAGGGATGAGTTAAGAGCTGTACAAAAGTTTAACAACACCAAAAGAGAAACAAGTTTTTAAATTTATTCATGAGGGACTGAAGCAAAGCATGATTATGAATGTGTTTGTCAAATTGACGACGTAGTGGTTTGTAATGGCTCGGACAAACGACAAGCCTAATTCCTCGTGCGAATGCAGAAGACAACAACAGTGTAGCTGTAGGAAGAGGAAAGAGTTGTTCAAGTTCAATGTTTGACAAGGGACTTTCCACTAGGAACATGTTCCATGTAAGCCCCACTCAAAAGAGGAAGGCTCATCCACACTTCCTATTCATTTTAGCCAGGCTTGCACGAAAGATGCTCCAGATCAGCCCTGGCCAACTCAGCGCCCTCCAGATGTTTTGGACTACAACTCTCATGAGCCCCAGCATTGTATGGGTGTGCTGGCTGAGGCTAATGTGAGTTGTAGTCCAACACATATGAAAAGTTCCAGGTTGGCAAATGCTGTTCTAGATTAAGGGCACTGGGCATGATCAGTTTCTGCCTACTGAGTAGCACTTGACAACTATAGAGAAAATCTGTCTACTGTGCAGTACAGGGCTAGGCATGTACTGCTTGATCCCCATTCTCTCTGCCTCTAGTGTAATAGAAAATTGGTCTGTGATTTGGAAACTTACACAAACAGCTTCAGCGGTGTGGATTATACAATACTTATAAGAGAAATCATGCATAAGATACTTTGCATATATAATATGTAACACACTTTGAAATTCTTTACAAAAAAAGAAAGAGTAACAGATAAACCTCATTGCAGTAAATGAGACCTGAAAAAGATGGCACATATTGGGCGGCGGCGGGCAGGGGGGTGGGGAGGTTGTTCAAACTTTCTTTGTTGAACTCTGCTCTTAGGTTCTCAAATATTCTTGCCTTGTTCTATCCTACAGATTGAGGTTTGGAATCATCTCACAGAACTGTGGTCTATCTCACGGGTTTGGTTTCTAGGCCAGAATAAAAATGTCAGGCAGAAGGAGCTTGTCATCCAAATTCCAAAGTGGGTCCCCCCCCCCAGGGGGAGACAACGACAACTCTTTCACATGTGAGTTCAGGTGCACTGAGTATAACCGTTTACAAAACAACATTGGCACAATGGGTGCTGTCTCACTCTCCACCATCACCTGTGTTTAGTTGTTTGTGGGAATTCTTCAAGCATATAAAAGCCAGGTGTTTCAACTACTAGTAAAAGGTAAAGGTACCCCTGCCCATACGGGCCAGTCTTGCCAGACTCTGGGGTTGTGCGCTCATCTCACTCTATAGGCCGGGAGCCAGCGCTGTCCGCAGACACTTCCGGGTCACGTGGCCAGCGTGACAAGCTGCATCTGGCGAGCCAGCGCAGCACACGGAACGCCGTTTACCTTCCCGCTAGTAAGCGGTCCCTATTTATCTACTTGCACCCAGGGGTGCTTTCGAACTGCTAGGTTGGCAGGCGCTGGGACCGAGCAACAGGAGCGCACCCCGCCGCAGGGATTCGAACCGCCGACCTTTCGATCGGCAAGTCCTAGGTGCTGAGGCTTTAACCCACAGCGCCACCTGTTTCAACTACTATTCACTATCTAAATTAGGAGTTTCAAAGAACACAGATGGATCCCCTTTAACAAGCAAGTGCTAAGAAAACAAAAATATTCTACCCCACATTTGGCTTGAGACTCTTTCAGCCCTATCAGAAGACAGTTAAGAAAATCTGACAGCCTGGCATAAATTCAAGTGTCTCCATCTGTGGGTTTCAACACTCCTTACAACAGGAATTGAAGATACAGTACCTGTAATACTACACGGAGGAATCTTAGTATTATTCAGGTACAATGTGTTTAAAAACAGTAAGTGGCATTAATGTGTTCCGAGGCCCATCTGTTCAGCTTGCACTGTATCTATCTCCTGTGTCCTCCCTTGCTTGCCCCACAGATGGTTCTGATCCTGCCGTCAAAGGAGAGCAACACTCCTGATAGTACCAAGCCAACATGCCACATGAAATAAGAGTGAAATAAAATGGTACATTCTTGCACTGCTATCAGCAGAGGTGAAAATTTCATGGCCAAAATATTCCCTAGCTCCAACAACCTCACAACGAAATTGTCAATTAATGGTACATTTTAGAAACTATCAGAAAGAGGATGGCAACAGTCTGGAAAAAGAGGCTTTATAACATGCTCACAGATTCTTGCAAATAAGTAGAGAGGTGCTCTTTCTCTCCGCATTCCCTGCACGCCACTCCTGCAAATGATCTCTAAGCCTTTGCTGTCAAGAGCAGCTTACAAGGTGGCAGGGGAGGAAACTGTTCTTCAGAGAAAGGAATCTTGACTGCAGGCCACTTGTTGGATGAAGGTAAACATTCTCAGGGCTGAAAAGGCCATGGCAACTTTTGGAAGGGCAGCATGTAAGGAATTCTTTTTTACATGAATAATAAAATTATTATTATTATTGCCTTCATATCCGTGTCTTCTAATGAGGACAAGGTGGGGTATTACTGTTCCCTTCTCCCCACTGTAGTCTACCATTTTTTCTTGAGAATTATACTGTCTAATAAAAAGGCACATCAAGCGTGGGATAGATGAAGGGGAGGGTCTCAGCACAGTCATCTTTAATAATGAAAAAGAACACCCATCCCTCAAAGTAATGAACCGTCTGCCTTCATTTTCTCCAGGTTCATCAACTGTATCTAAGATAACACATATTTCTGCAAAGGTCAGAATAATACAATAGAAGGAATCCACCTGTAATTTCACTGGCGTTAAGTTTCAGCAAAATGACAGGAGCCAAGCACCTAAAAATGTGCAACAGAAAGAAGTACAGAGGTGCAAAAAGAAAAAAAAACAAGTTTAAATATTATCAGAAATTAAACCTTTCATAAGAGAAAGCAAATACACAATTCACATTTTTTGATTCTTCTAGGGTTAATCTATGCCAAACCTCTCTGTGGCAGAAAAATCAGGTGAATTTATAGCACTTTCACAGGTCATTAAGTCAAACCAACATGCTTGCTTAGTTGAGCAATCTGCCACTCATTAAAAAAAAATGCTTCTCAATATAAATCTCCAAGGTCTAAGGGCTCATTGGGATTACATGGAGGGGGAAGCCCATCAGGCAAGAGCACCCTCACCTGGCCAGAACAGGTAGGTGCCGGCAAAACACAACATATCCTTCTGCCATCCTGGAGAGGGCTCCTATGCCTTTAAGAGTATCATGTAAGCGAGAAAGCACCATTTCCTTCATTCCTGTAGTACCCAGAGAAAACTTTTCCAGCAGAACTACTTCTTGCCTTCCAGTTCTTAAAGAGAGATAGACCAATGGTGTCCAAGGCAGCCTTATTAATAGTTCTCAAGGTGCTCACTTAGCACTATGTGAAAACAGACTTCAGCAATTCTTCTTGCTAAAAACAGAGCCACTAGGACTAATGGAATGATGTCTTCAGAGGACTTTGCTTCCTGGCAAAAGCACTGAAAGGCTTTTGACTGGCCCCATGAGGCCTCTTCACATTTTCATAGTTTTGAAGTACGTGCACAGATATGCTGAAGATCTGTCAATATTTGGGCTGGTTTTAAACAAACAGATGGACTGCCAATGCTAGTTGGCAAATGAAAAATGCCAGCTTAGTTCAATATACTCAAGGCTAATGAGGAGTGATTCTCCCAAATGGATTTTGGGGCAGGGGAAAGAGTGGGGAAAGCAACCGGGAAATAAGTGTAAGATGGTGGATATTAAAAAGATTAAGGACTTTGTGCTACTGCTTCCTACGTGTAGGCACTTCAAAAAGGAGTCCTTCAAAGAAGGGGGAAAGTGGCAGCTGAGATGCAAGGTGCAAGAAAAAGTGCTCTTTAACACTCTGGCAAAAAAGGTAAACAGAAAGAGAAATTTTGGTGGGGGGGGGTGGAGATTTCTGCAACGGCATGCTAAAGACTTGGAAATCTGTCCTGCAAATTTCCAGCTGACGTTGCTTAGTTTTGCTGGATCCGTAAGGAAGAGGCCACTCCACAAAACTTTGGTCAAGCTTCCAGAAAGAGTCTTGGCCCCTGGGGGTTCCTCAACCATCTTCTTCATCATCACTAATGAGGTCCCTTTTATCTGGGTTAGTTTCCCGCTCACGCAAGAAGTCTTCCCGAATGGCTTCAAGTTCCATGAGCTCCAGGCGGACTTTCTCCAGGTGGTAGGCCCTCCGATTTCTTATCTGGCGCAATGGAAAGGGATTCAGATCCCCAAAAGCAATACTGATGAGTTTCCTAGAATAAAAAAAATAGAAAATGCAGATGACCAACCACATTCCTTTAAAAAGGGTTTGTTGTGTAATCCACCAAAGTTCAGTCCCAAACAGATTTCAGCAGTTGCAAGACACTCCCAAAACTCTTCTCTCAAGATCAAGAGCACAAAACTCATGAACAAATGATAACCAGGGATGGGGGAGCCTGGCATAGGAAGGAAACGAGGTTGGAATGTGGCCACGGTTGGGAAAAGGTTGAGAAACACTGGGCTAGACTGTAGGAGGAGAGCCTCACCTTTCCCACATATTGAAACAATATGGAATAGATGAGGTCTTAAAGTTTCTGCTTCTCATGGAGCTGAAAAGGTACACAGAACCCTTTCTAAAGGGCAACGAACTGTAAACCCACTAAAGATGTGGAAGGAGTGTGCAAAAGAGATGATTTCCCCCCTGCTGCCTAAGTTTGTCTAGGTGGCATGAAAGTAGATTGGGAGTGATCTGCAGTAGATTAGCAAGGTTTTCTGACTCCCACAAAGCAGATTCTGCAAGTTAGAAGTCTGTTGACCTCAAATATGTACATCATTCAGTGCAAGCCCACAAACCTACTTGGGTAGCTTTGCTAAACAAAACAAAAACCTCTCTCACGTTCCTAAATTTAACTGGACACACAATTTGCAAATTCAAAATTGCTCAAATGCTCCCAGCTTGTAAAAATTAGCTGCAGCTCCAAGTCTAGATGCAGTTTACAAAGAGAGGAAGTCTCATGTTCCTGAGAAGCCATGCTTGGTCTACTCAAGCAGTGCTGCAGGTTCCAGCTGTTTCTCATCATTCTGTCTCCTTTGTTTATGATGAAACATTTCATCTGTCATGGCAGAGAGGAACTGGATGCTATTTGCTTATTTCCCCCTCAAAATCTGCCTAGAAGTATACATCATTTTCAAAGGTTAAAAGAAACAAAGAACTACAACTTGAAAAAAGAAACAAGGCATGTACTTTTGTGAACAAAGAAAATATTCTATCTATCTTTGCCTAGAAAAAACTTCTTGCTGTTTCAGTGTAACTTCACTGTACTCAATGAACCTAAATGCACATTTATCAGGAAGATGAGCTCCTGCAGCATTTTCCCATAATTCTCCCATTACTTAAAAAAGGTAAAGGTACCCCTGCCCGTACGGGCCAGTCTTGACAGACTCTAGGGTTGTGCGCCCATCTCACTTAAGAGGCCGGGGGCCAGCGCTGTCCGGAGACACTTCCGGGTCACGTGGCCAGCGTGACAAAGCTGCATCTGGCGAGCCAGTGCAGCACACGGAAACGCCGTTTACCTTCCCGCCAGTAAGCGGTCCCTATTTATCTACTTGCACTTTAGGGGTGCTTTCGAACTGCTAAGTTGGCAGGCGCTGGGACCAAAAGACGGGAGCGCACCCCGCTGCGGGGATTCAAACCGCCGACCTTTCGATCGGCAAGCCCTAGGCGCTGAGGCTTTTACCCACAGCGCCACCCGCGTCTTCTCCCATTACTTACGCATCATAAAAATCTTAAAGAGTTCAGAAACCTGGCTGTAGCTAGTTGAATTTAGTCGGCCAGGGGATGCTGTATTCCAGCACCATAGATAGTGCTTGAAGAGGACTGACTGCTTTAATTGGGAATGGGAGCTTTCCAGAGAACTTTGCTAGGTCAACAATGCAAAAGTCAGGTCAGGTTTCTAAACCCTGGCCTTCAGGAACAAACATAGCACATTGAGCTTGACACCTGCAACTTAGGAACACGGCTATCACTGGAATTTTTGAGATCTTGTTGGACTGCTTAGTGGTTAGCAACCTCAAGTACCTGGGCCTGTACATTTCAAAACAGGAAAGAACATGATGCAAGGTAAGTTGGCTGAAAGTCTCCTGAGAAGAGGAGAAGGCAGTTCATCTGTTTCTGACGAAAACCGAAAACCTGAAGTGTCACTCCTGGGGGGGGGGGGAATCTGGGACCAAGCTATTCCTGTGTTGAGTTGCCTTTTAAACACTCACCACTCCACTTGCCAGAATTATCAGGACATAATCAGACATGTACCTTCAAGAAGTGACTAGGAATGTATCCCTTTTCACTGGGGTCACAATGCACTACTCCAAACATCTACTCCCAACATCAACAATGCACTACTCCCAACATCAACTTGCCTAATGTTCAAATGGTTTTCTGAAGTCCTTCTCCAAGTGCCCCCACAGGGGGTGAAAATAAGAGACAGAGCCTGTTTGGTCATGGCACCGTCTGTGGAATGTTCTCCCCACTGCCAAATCTTATGTCTTCCCAGCCCCAGGTGAGTGGAACACTTATCACCTAACTAGGCATTTAATAATGTTGGATTTATCTATTTAATGCTGCTTTTAAGGTTTTAATTGTATTTATAAGCTGTCCTGCCAGCTGTAGAAGCTCCTGCAGCCAACCAGAAGGCGTGGAAGCCCTGTGGGACATTTGGCTTCCAAAAATAGTTTGCAAACCGGAATAGTTACTTCCAGGTTTGCGACATTCAGGAGCCAAACCGTATGAGTTCCAGGGCATTTGACAACCAAGGTACAACTGTAGAAGGATGGAGAAGAATGAAAATAAATACTGTTTACATTTCCTTTTGCCTGCTTATAGTTTAATATAAATGCTAATTTAAAGCTTTTTAAAGCTCAGGTTGTTCAAATTAGACCTAAAATTCCCCCCTCTTTTTCCTTAAGGCCTTTTCCTGTTGTGGCACCCATCTGTGGAAAAGCAAGGCATGTCAGGCCCCATCATTATACTGCTTTAGGTAGTTGTAAGAGTCTGGGTTTTTTAGGTAGCCAGCCAGATACCTGTTTAATTTGCTAGCTTTGGGGTTCCTTTTGGGTTAATATTGTTTTATAGATTATAAATGCTGTCTATAATGTGTTAATATGACATCTGCTGTAATTGTGATGTTTAGCTTATGTCAAGGTGGGAACTGGGAGCCGGTCAGCAATAACTCACCAGGTGTCAGTAAAGTTAACTCTTTATTCAAAGAAGAAGCAAAACAGCTCAGGCCTAGTGAGCACAGCAACTCTTCCTGTATTTCTGAAACAATACCCGTAAGTGGTGTCTCCTGATCTCAAGGTATTTGCAGCAGTAACTCATTATATATCTATTTGAAATGTAGTGGCAGTGGCAGAAAACAATCGCTAGGTGGTGTGCTTGCTTCCAATGCAGCTTTGCTATAATGAGGGCTTCTGATATACAATTTATAATGAGCACTTAGCGCAAGATGCCACTATAAATCTATCAATATAATGAAGAAGACTATAAATCTACTTGCATAATTAGAAGTTGGCATCAACCAGAGGCTAGCCAGCTGGCCTGATAAGGAGTCAACTGTGCAACAGGCCTACCTCAACCCAGCCATGAAGCTGGCACCCAGACATGAACTTGGTCCGTCCCCCCGAAAATATGAAGGAAGGAAAATGTACATCATTAAGAGCACCTGCACAGCCAGCTATTGAACCTGTCCAGTGTCTATAAATGCTACCCATCTCAGCAAAGGAGGGAGTTCCAGAAGAAGCACTGAAGAACCGAGGAAAGAGAGGGAGATGAACTGAAGGCAAACTGAAGAGGGACTGAAGAATCAGCAGTGCAGGGACCAGCTCACTTACCACCTGGGTGTGTGACCTGCCCACCAGCCTGAAGGGTTAGCAGCAGTCTCTTAGCAGCTGGCAGGGCATGCAGTTGAGCTTATATGATTATTTATCTTTATCTGTCTCTATAACTGTTTGTATTTGTGCTTAGAGTCTAGCTTATAGTGTCAAATTATTATTTATCAATTAATAAACTGCCTTCTTCTTTACCTGGTGCCCTATTGGTTCTCCATCTGCTGTGATTCAAAAGAACCTATTGCCTGCACCTTGCTCTAAGAACTAGGCTAGGCAGCTGGTAATACACTTCCCAGTAGGTCTTGCCCGAATGAGGCAGTTGCAAGGATTGAAGGTCCTTGCCTTCCCACTGCTCTCTAAGTCTCCTCCTCCCCCAGGTTCTTCTGAAGCAACCTGAGACTTCTCCTTGTCTGTCTTTGCTCTGCCCTCTTCATAACTCTTCAGGTTCTGGGAGGGGAGCTGGTCTCAGCAGGTAGGCCTCTTGCCCCCCACCTTCTAGCCTCCACTTCTGCCTCTGATTCTGGACTGCCCTCTGCCACCGCCTCTTCCTGCTCACTAAACCCTGTTGCCTCTTCAGCTTCTGACACCTTCTCCACCCAGTCTTCTCCCTCTGACCACTCATGGTCATCCCACCACCAATCCCCTGGCTCTGGGTCTTCTTCCCTTGGGGTTCCCCAGCTGGTGCCTCCCCATCGCTCCTCTGCATCCAGCCCGTCAATGACAGCTTATTTTTTAGTTGCTGCTTTGCTTAGAGTATTTTATAGGTTGCAATTGTTTTATTGATTATTTGTTAATTGTTTTACATTATTTATGCTGGATTTGTGATGTTATTGCTATTTCTTGTTTATAAGCTGCTTTGGGATTCATTTGAATAAAAAGCAGCATAGAAACACAATAAATCAAATCAAACAAATCAGTTTTGATGGCTGTTCTGGAATTGTTGTTTGTTTTCAGTTTGTTAATGTTCGGTTGAATTATAGGGCTTCAAATGAGAATTATTGTTTGTTTTATACTATTTTGTTACCAATTTGTTAGCTGCCTTGAGTTTCTTTGGAAAATTAGGCAGTACAGAAAACTTCGCACTAAATTGTTTTAATTTGAGCGCATGGAATGAAGGTCAAGTCAGAGACTTGAATAAAACCAGAACATAGATATTCTTTCTAAGCAAGCAGTTTCCAACTTCCAAAAAGGCCCTTACCTAGCATCAAGGACTGTGCGAGTGAAGTATCTGAGGTACTTGAATATGGACATCGAGTCTTGCTGTTTTAAGATTTCCTCCTCTTTGTATTTAAAGAGCGCCAAAGCAAACCGGAACATTACCTAAATGTTTGACAAACATCAGGTTACAAAAGAGAATGAGCAGTGTTTAAAATTCCCTGCCACTTCAAGTTAACTGCATGGAAGAGATCACTAACTATTTAGGCCACAAAAGCCTCATCCCCTCAACTACTAGAAAATTATGGTTAGTCTCGCTTCCCACTCTGTTGGCTTCAGAAACTCCATGAGGCACTGCCCACACGCATTCAAGGTACAAGGATTAGAACCCTTTGGTTTTGACAAGGAAAGCAGAGATTGGTGAGATGTTTCATTATAGTGCAACAGCAGAGTCTCATGGAATTCACACAGAACTATTTGTCAATATTCTTCCAGAGGTAAATTTAGTTCATCCTATCAAATTCTCTAAGCAGTATGAAAGATAGTCTTCAGAAAACATTAACACTTCATAGTCTGGTTTGGACATAACACTCAACTATTGTGAACAAGACTCAGGCTGTTCATTCATTCCCCTTCCTCTCCTCTCCTCCCCTTGTCCTGGCTTGGCTGCAGTTTAGCATTATGTCTGAACCCTAAACAGTGATTAATCCGAACTAGCTTATATTGAAACAAGTCAACTTCATAAACCAAGGTTTGAAGATGGTTTCAGTAAGTCATAGTTGACTGGACACAGCTGGCCAGGGTGCAGCCATAACATTAAACGGCAGTTAGTTAAAACAGAAACCAAAACTTCCTATCTCCTCATGGCTGTACTGGAGGAGAGAACTGCAAAGTTTAAGGCTCATTCACATTATGCTAAATCAGGGGTCAGCAAACTTTTTCAGCAGGGGGCCGGTCCCTCAGACCTTGTGGGGGAATGGACTATATTTTTTTGGGGGGGGGGGAGAATGAACAAATTCCTTTGCCCCACAAATAACCCAGAGATGCATTTTAAATAAAAGGGCACATTCTACTCATGTAAAAACATGCTGATTCCCGGACCGTCCGCGGGCCGGATTTAGAAGGCGATTGGGCCGGATCCGGCCCCTGGGCCTTTTGTTTGCCTACCCATGTGCTAAATCATAGCTTAGTCTGAACATTGCCAGCAATTCAATTTCTTTCCTCAAGCAATTGTTTCATCAGCAGTCAAGAGAGATACAGGGCACAGCCAACAGAAAATTCTCCTACCCAAGGCACATGGAAATGAATGGGACAACTGAGCTATTGCACAGCTCCTATTCATTTCACTAATGTTTGGCAGGAGAACATCCCACTGGGTGGCATCTCAGCTCAGCTTTACCCACAGGTTCTACAAACATCAGGAAACATTCAGGGTTATGCCATGTACCTTTGGCCCCTCGTACAAAAAAGAGTCCCATATCTTGAAGAGTATGTCGCTGACCACACTATCTACAAACACAACAAGGAACCAGTTGAAGGTGATGAGCGAGTAGTCCACTCTGTATTGCTCAAAGTGGGCATGCAGCCGAGGGAGTTTCTCACTCATCAAGTCCTTGAAGACTCTCTGGTCAACCTAAAGGAGTGCAAGACAAAAGAAAACTCATTCAGACAAAAATGGAACAAACGGTACAATCTTTTTTAAAAAAATAAAATGGCAGCCTCACAAGGCCTTAAAGGAGGGTGACTGAATCTCTAATGCCAGAGCAAACTGGTATCTGATTAAAAAGGTGGCACTTAAAAGTAGGGATAATTTCTATAGAACAAGAACCCCATATGCAGAAATATAATATACACTGGCAGAAGGGACATTTATCAATGTGAAAGAACAAAAATCTAAATACATACAAGATGACTAGTATGTCTAATTCTCAAAAAAAGCATGTGGCTCATAACCAAAAGAGCCAGATTGCAGCTGGAGATTCACATGACTGGATGTTTTTACATGCAAAACAAAAGGAAAGACTTCCTGTGTGTAATAATCCACCAAGTCAGGGCAACAGGTTCTAGCCTAACTTCCATTTCAGTATGTGAGTTTTCTATATGCAGGGATGTGTATTTGTTGCATGTATGGAGAAAGAGCTTATCACTTAAGCCCCTACCAAGATTCCTCTTCTGGTGTTTGAGAGAACTAGACCTTTAGGGGCTGAATTTGCATGCCGGCACACTCCATACCTGGGAGCCTAGTAAGGTTTTAGTATAATAGTCCCGAGGCATGAAGACCTCCACTATTGTAACTAGGCACCAAAAGGCATCTTCCTGCTCCAAGTAGAGAAGCGCAATTGCCACCAGTCTGAAAGACAGAAGATAAAACAGAACAATCTCATATTGCAAAACTGCAAGAGTCTGGGTGCCATTAAAACTGATGCTGGAAAGTGATTGGCACTAATATATGCATTGACCACAGAGAAGGGCTAAAACGAGCGCTGCTTGGCTTGTTTAAACATATATGCATACGTATTTCACCAGCTTCATCTGGTTCACCAGCTTTGGCCATTCCTGGACAGGGATAGTCCATCCATTGGGAACCTCGAGGCAAGTTTACTGCAATGTGTTCTATGTGGGGCTGCCCTCGGGCCTGGTTTAAAACCTCCAGCTGGTGCAGAATGTGGCAGCCAGGCCACTGATAGGGGCACATAACCAACAACATGTGACCCAATTGTTAAAATATATGGACTGGCTGCGCATCTACTACTGAGCCAGGCTCAAGATTTCTGCATTAATTTACATATCACTGAACAACTTAGGTCCAGGGTAAACCTCAGGGACCATCTGAACCCTTATGTCCCAGCTCTTTCACCAGTAGAAGCATTGCTGTTTGTCCTGAGTCGCTGGGGATTATTTGACATCAAGGGTGAAGGACATCATCTCCCAGAATGTCCTCTCCATGGAATGCAGCCTAAAGATCCAATGTGCACTTACAGACAGCATGGATCCATAAAGGGAGATGTCTGACTAGCTGAAGAGGCAAAAGCACCAGCCGTCCATCACCATGTTCTTCTGGAAAATACCACCACCAGCAGAAGTAGCAGCAGCAAGTGCATCTGAATTGCAGCCAAGCATTTCAGGGTACCAGTCTATTCCTTGTTGCTGTTTCCACGTCATCCTCCAGCAATGAGGAAGACTGAGTGCCACCACTGCCCACCAGCAATAGCAGCAGCAGCAGCAGCAGCAGCAAGAGAAGTCCTACAGCCAAGCACTTCTGGGGTATGAGTCCACTGGAAGACTGAGAGCCACCACTGCCACAATTCCTGCCCATCTGGTAAGTACTGCTGGTTTTTTAAAGGGTTTTTCTAGGGGTTTCAGAGGTTTAGAGGGTATGTGTATTTCAATTATACACAATTCCATGTATGTGTGCAGTGCCTCGGAACACAACCGCTGGGTAAATTGGGAGTTGCCTGTAGCTCTAGACCAATCTGGTTTATTGCTCAAAGGAATATTGCTGATGCTATTAGAAGGGTTCTGGATATTATTATTATTATTGAATTTATATACTGCCCTATACCTGGGGGTCTCAGGGTGGTTCACAGAATAAAATCAAGATATAAAACCAAGATATAATTCACCATGCACGCAAATGTAATTCTTCTGTAACTTTAATTTCACTAGATACCTTCAAGACCTTTGATTGTACTGAATGGAGCTACTTCAGGAAACTCTTATCAAAGAGTTGTTTGAGAATAGATTTTTACATTAAACTGAGCATATTTATTTGGAATTATAAGCTTGCATTACCCTTAGTGGAGTTAACTCCACAAATTTCACAATCAAACGAGGGACCAAACAAGACTATCCACTATTGCCACTCCAATTTGCAGCGGTAATAGAGGCTTTAGCTACAAATCTAAGAGATATCCAAATTCAGGGAACTGAACATAAATTAAATCCATTTGCACACAATCTGCTAATATGTTCTATGATCCTAAAAGAGCTCTCTTGCCTCTGCAGCAGACTCTTAGTATGTCTGCTAAGGTTGCTGGGGGTGTGGGGGTGTGGACTAGATGACCTTCTACAATTCTATGAAAAAATAATTACAACAAATAAGTGATGTTTCCTATTTCCATGATTTCAGAACACAACTGGTTACACTCTAATTCTGGTTTTAAATTGCTATGTGGTGGATTCAGATATCTCAAAGTAGTAAAATCATGGGGTTATGTCAACTTTACTGAAGGAATTTTGGGGATCTTGACAAAAGGCTACAGAAGCATTTAAATTTACGTTGGTTAGGCCAAATTGCAGCTGTGAAGGTGTGCATTCTTCATAAATCTCTATTTTTCTTTCAGGTCCTGCCCATAACTATCCCTCTTTCTCAATTGGCTCAATGGCAACACTTGATTAATAATTTTATTTCAGGAGGTAAAGAAAGCAGGGTGTGCTGTCTAACCCTGTATTGTCCAAGAACCAAGGGAGGTCTTGGTGCCCCAAATCTTAAGTTGTATTACGAGGCTTTCCAATTAAAACAGTTGACACATATGATTAATAACTCAGCTTCAACTCTATGGGCCAAAATGGAACTAGAAGAAGAGGAGTTTGGATTTGATATCCTGCTTTATCACTACCCGAAGGAGTCTCAAAGCGGCTAACAATCTCCTTTCCCTTCCTTCCCCACAACAAACACTCTGTGAGGTGAGTGGGGCTGAGAGACTTCAGAGAAGTGTGACTGGCCCAAGGTCACCCAGCAGCTGCATGTGGAGGAGCGGGGAATCAAACCCGGTTCCCCAGATTACGAGTCCACCGCTCTTAACCACTACACCACGCTGGCAACCCACTCTTAACGCCTTACCCATCCTGAAAACTTCATGGGCTCACATTAGCAAAATAAGTAATCTGTTTCAACAGCTGACCCTTTGAATATGGCATAAATGGCAATCACATTTAGCTCATTTGCGGTTGCCTTTAACTCCTATTTTAGATCACCCAGCCTTTTGCTTTAACAATAAATATAAACAGTTCCTATTGTGGAGATAAAGGGGAATCTCTATGTAATTTATGTTTCCCCTCTCATAACAAAAAGACAATAAATATTTCTTTTTTAAAAAGTAAATAAAAGTGAGACATGCCAAATGACTACAGAAACTGAAGAAAACAGATTCTACCTGTTGAGACCCTGGCAATATCCTATGTCTGGGTTCCGCCAAGAAAATGCAAGCAAGACATTCCTCAGCTTCTGCACTCCTTCAGATGTCAGAGAAGAGTAATGCTTGTTGTTGGGCAAAGTCCGCAGAAGATCTAGCTCTATCTGCTTTGAAGCCGGGTTCTGCTTCTTCAAGGCATTCTGAAGCAGTGATTGGAAGTAGCCCGGGTCCATGTGTTCTCTGAACTTCTTTACATGAAGGCCAATGCACCATTTCCACATCTGGGAGCGGTGGGCATGCGGAATCCCATACCGAATGAGGTTCTTGAGTTCCACAGAACGCACCATCTCCCTGTTCATGGTGCTAGCCAGATAGTTCTCCCACTTCACCCCTGTGGACATCTCCTGGTTTTCAGTAAGGGAAAGGGATTTCAGATCCAAGGCCCGAACCTTCGCTACCAGCTTCTCTTCCTCATCGTCCTCTGGGACTGTCTGAAACCCATAAATATCATATTCACTGTAAAGGAGAGAGAAATCTGATTAACTGGGAATCTTTAGGAATGAAAAAAATTCAAGCAAGAGAAAGGTGATATTCTGGAAGTCTGCTATATCTTTTGTGAGCTCAGATAAATGCACTAAGTTTCCCCCCTCATTCTGTTAACTCATTCGTTTTAGTAAGGGAGCAGATGTCGCTGTGGTCTATAAGTGTCTGAGTGTCTTGGGCTTGCTGATCAGAAGGTCAGCAGTTTGAGTCCGCATGATGGGATGAGTTCTTGTTGCTCTGTCCCAGCTCCTGCCAACCTAGCAGTGCGAAAGCTTATCAGCGCAAGTAGATAAATAGGTACTGCTGTGGCAGAAAGGTAAATAGCATTTCCGTATGCTCTGGCACTCGTCACAGTGCCCTGTTGCACCAGAAGCGGTTTAGTCATGCTGGCCTCATGACCCAGAAATCTATCTGTAGTCAAATGCCATGGCCTGAAGTGAAATGAGTACTGCACCCCAAAGCCAAGTTTGACTGGACTTAACTGTCCAGGAGTCCTTTACCCTTATACCTAAAGGGTTGTTGTTGTTATTTGTTTATTGTTAATTTATCCATCATCTTTTAAGCCACTGTCTCAAAGCAATTTGCATATAAGGTAATTATGAACAGTGAAAAATACAAAGCCTACAAATACATTTAAAACAAGACAAAAACCCTAGCAAATGGACAGTCATGGGAAAGACCTGGGAAAGCCTGTCAGAACACCAATATCTTCAATTGTTTCTGGAAAGTGTAAATAGTGGGAGTCTGTCGTATCTCAACAAGAATACTATTCCATAGAACAGAGGTGGCCACTCTGAAAGTCTTGCTCTAAGATCTTTGGTTCTTGCAGGAGAAATTCTTCTGCAGGCTACAGCAATCTACTGGATGTATAAGGGATAAGGTGGTCTCTTACACTGATTTAACACTTCAAAGCATATGTGACAGATTTAAAAGCAAAATAATTGCCAATGACAATGCTAAGGATTTAATTACACCTGTGCTCACCAAAATTATTGAATGCCTCACCAGAATGGTAAAGCCATCACACTGTGAAATTAAAAGTTTCTAGTCTCACACATTTTAACCATTATTTTCCAATGGCAAGGTATAGGACTCAGAGCTTGGAACTTCTCCATCCTCCCCTTTCCCAACAGCACTCAGTGATCTTCCTTCACCTCCGGTTTCCAGTCTCCTGTTTTAGAGAATATTTCCAAATATATTGTGAACCATCCTGCAATCTTTTGGTGAAGGATGTTTATTATATTATATTATATTATATTATATTATATTATATTATATTAGTTAAAAACTTCTTATAAGTGTTCAGACAAAAAATTTATCAAGTTAGAAAACATGCTGATTATACTTGAGTTAATTAAGTTAATCCAGGCTTTGCAACTAATTATTTAAGGGATGGTACACCCCTCTTTCACACACACATTGAACCCACAAAATGTTTAAAAATATTTAAGGGGTTATCTTGCCAGGGAGGTTGCAGAAGTTCTAGCTTAGAGCAGCTCAACCCTAAAAAGGTGTTAAATTCAGTCCCACTGTTCCCCAAAGAAAATACGATGCTACTGGCACCCATTCCAAATGCAAAAGTAAAGAAAGTATTTGGCATTGGTGTCTTAACATCACACAACAACACTTCACACAAGAACATAGGAAACTGCCTTCTACCAAGTCAGACAAATGACCAGCTAGCACAGAACTATCTAAGGCACATGCTTTGCATGCAGAAGATCTTAGGTTATGCCTACAGCATCTCCATGTAGAGAAGGGAAGGTCTAGAATTCTGGAGTCATTGCCAGTCAGTCAATGTTTCCCCCTCCTGGTAATTGCTTTTATGTTCACTTTTTAGTACACAAAATGCAGTAATAACAATAAAGAGAGAGAATAGATCAAAACAAGATAGGAAAAGGAAGAAGGCTATGAGGAGAGAAGAGGGAGTGGTTAGTATTCTAAAAATAGTAGAACTCCAGACAATTGTCCTTCATAAGCATATTATCCTCGAACTGCTGCCAGTCAGTGTTGACAATACTGAGCTAGGTAGACTAATAATCTCACTCAGTGTATGGCATCTAAAGTCTAAAGGTAAAGGGACCCCTGACCATTAGGTCCAGTCGTGGCCGACTCTGGGGTTGCGGTGCTCATCTTGCTTTATTGGCCGAGGGAGCCGGCGTACAGCTTCCAGGTCATGTGGCCAGCATGACTAAGCCGCTTCTGGCGAACCAGAGCAGCGCACGGAAACACCGTTTACCTTCCCACCAGAGCGATACCTATTTATCTACTTGCACTTTGACGTGCTTTCGAACTGCTAGGTGGTCAGGAGCAGGGACCAAGCAACGGGAGCTCACCCCATCGTGGGGATTCAAACCACCGACCTTCTGATTGGCAAGTCCTAGGCTCTGTGAGTTAACCCACAGCACCACCCGCCAATTCAGCACAAGCTCTCCAGGATTTCAGGCAAGGGATTCTCTCCTGGACACTGAGGGACTGGACCCAGGTGCGCAACCACTGAGGTAGTTCGATAACTCTTACAACAGTCCTAACAACATGAGTCTTGTATTATCCTAGTACATGTGTGGTGGTGGAGGAAGCATACGTGCGCCCCCTATCACCCCACTCCGATTCTGCCCTCTTTCGGGTCCAAAAGGACTGCCAAAGGGCAACCAGGCAAAGACATAGTTGCAGTTAAGAGATTTAAAACTGTGAGTGGCAGCTTAGTCCCTCAGCTGCTACACTGCACTAGCTCTCAGAAAAGGCTGTGGTGTTTTTAAATTTTACTTTATTTATATAGTGGTATCAAATGTGAAGTTATCAAAAGTCTTCTGTTTACCTGACCATGTGAGGTTTGAAGTATGTCTGCTCCAGGTGCTCACTGCTGTCCACTTTCAAGGCATCTTCCAGGAGCTGGGTCACCACATCATGACAAGGACCCTGCTCCTCTGAGCAAACTGGGGTCTTCATCTCTTGAAGCAAGATAAGATACTTACTTTCCACTTGGCAGAGCTTGGCTTCAAGGCTTGTATACTGCAGAGAATACACCAAAGAATTCTTTCAAATTGGCACTTGCAGAAACATTTCAGTGATGCATGGGAATCCATTTCAATAAGCGAGTGAGTGAGTGAGTGTGTGTATGCACAAGTTGTCCCTCTCCCATGAAGATAAAACAGGGTTGAGAAACCTCAGTCCCAGAGGCCAAATGCCTCTCTAACTTTATGCCTGGGATTCTCCCCAGACCATAACACCTCCTCAAGTGCTTTTGCTTGGCCAGAATGCACGCCTCTTGGTTGTGTGGAAGGAGGATGTAGAGATCCGTATGTGCAGTAACTGATGATTTTTTGCATGGCTACAATCTCCTGCACAAAGGTAAGAGTCACATCCACGTGCATCTGCCCTGCCCACAATTGGTGTGTCTCACCTGGAAGGCTGCCCGTGAAGGAAGGCTGCAAACCTAAGACTGAAAAAGGGTTCCCCACCTCTGAGATAAAACAAGGATGTTGCAATTCCAGAAAAAGACAGAGGGTTCTGCAAATCAGCATAACAATAAGTTTTAAGTTCCTCTTTCTATATATTGCTTGAAATTTTCACTTCTGGCAATGAAAGCTAGCGGGATATTACTTCCAGTGTCAAGTGAAAGATTTACAATGAGCATCTGTGTTAAGCTGACCTTTGTCATCAAGTCTCTTTCTCTGTTTTCAGCAGTTCTCCGTAAAGCAGACAGTTCTAGGATCTCTTTATTTAAAAATTTGTTCTGGTTTTTATAACCCTGAAGACTATCCTGTGAACAAAAGATATGGATAAATATAGGTTATTTAAAAAATATATTATGAGGAATACAAGCAGTAAGGACTAGTGAAGCTTCTTGACCCAAGAAGCTCTACTTTCCTTTTGCTTTTAAAACAGTATATTGACACAGGGGGGAGGCACTCCAGAATTACAGAGAAAGTGCTCAAGTGGGGAGCTAGATAGTCAAAGAACTCAAAGGCGTGCTATAAATTCCACTCATTAGAACTTGACACGGTGGACCATTTTAGGGCTAGACCACTAGTAAAACTGTACTCTCCAATTTTATACAACTATAGGGAAAATGAAACTCTAATGACAAAACAATGATCTGACTCACTGACTTCCAACTGTTGCTCAATCACTCAAGATCATGCTAAGTTTCTTGAGAAGCTCTACTTTAAAAATCAAATGTGTCTCAAGCACTAAGAAATAGGGAAGCAATGAAAGTTTATAAAAGAGTTCTATATTTTCAAATCATTAAGCTGTGACTATTTCTGCAGGGCTCTGTCTTAAGACTCTTCAGGTCTGAAGGTTGTCAAATAAGGCAGCATCTTGCCACATATATTGTCGCTCTCTCTTTAATCTGTATTTGTATCATGCTATATGTGTTCTCATGTTGTTGCTCTTATGGCATTTTGTTACTTATTCATGGATGTGACCCCATTCCTTAAACCTTGTTTGCAACACCTGTTGTGATCTGAGAATTGGGTCCCCTACAGCAGTGTTTCCCAACCACTGTTCCGCGGCACACTAGTGTGCCGCGAGATGTTGCCTGGTGTGCCGCGGGAAAAATTAAAAAATTGAAAGATTTTTTTTAAGTCAAATTTTCGATTGGGGCGCCGTCACTAGATGACCCCTGGGGTTCCCTCCCTCCCTCCCGCTCTGCGCCTCCCTCCTCCTCCTCCTCCGGGGAGGCCCTTCCTGGCTCTCGGCCAAGGCTTGGCGGCTGCCACTCACTCACTCGCTCGCCCACCCGTCCCTCCATCCCTGCACCCGGCCTCTCCCCCTCCGTCCCCGGCGCGGGGGCTGCCGGGATCCGTAGTCCCCTCGCCCTTGGGCTCCGCGCCCGCGCGGGGTGCGCGAACTACGTTTCCCAGCGTGGCCTGGCGGGCCGGGCGTTTTGTTTGAAGTGCTCTTCTCCCGGCCATGGAATGAGCGCAGCGGCGGCGGCCGGGTGGGCAGGGGCTCTTCCGCGCAGACCCCGCGCAGCCTGCCTGCGCCCCCCAGAGATCGGGCGGCAGGATGGAGCCCGGGGATCCCCGCGGAGGCGGAGCGGCGGAGGCGGAGGCTGCCCCCCAGGTAGGGCTGCGTCGAGGGTTTTTTATTTTTGCAATGCTGCATCCGCGCCGGAGGGGACGCATCGGACCGCGGGGAGACCCCTTGGCGGGCGTGCAAGGCAATGCATGCATGCAGGCGTTGCATGGAGTGCAGTGCAATGCAATGGCAACGCGGTGCCCTGCATGCATGCATGCAACTTCCACCGGCGCTCCGGACTTGGCAGGTGATGGGGGTCCCCAGTGGGCGGCAGAGAGAGCCGGGAGGGCGAAGGGGAGCCAGGGGGGGGAGCAGTGCTGCTCCCCGAGCCGAGCCCGGGGGGAAACTTCGGCGTCGTTGCGCCGGGTGTTGGAAGCGGAGGCTGGCGGGGGCCCCTCACCTGCAAAACCTGGTCGCCTCTCATATATTTCGTGCATTGCATTCATCGCCCGCTTTCTCCTCCAAGGAGCTCCCGGGGGCGCGTGTGGTTCTCCCCGTGTTATCCTCGCAACAACAGCCCTGCGAGGTGGGTCAGGCGAGTGGCCCAAGGGAGCACCCAGAGATTGTCCTGGCCAGGTGGGGTGATTTGAACCCTGCTCTCTGCCCGGTCTTCGTCCTCATTTAGCCCCCACATGTGCATGACTGTGCATGACTGAGGTTTCCCCCCCCTCGTCTTGGCTATGGTGTGAGTCTGTGCTGTTAATTAATGGGGTTCTGCCTTCGGAGAAGATGAGCCAGCCCTCAAGGAGGTGATTATGTAATTTGCTAGCAATTCATGTCCCTCCCGGCGTGACGCTGCGCGCTGACGTCACGGGGCTGTAATGGTGGTGTGCCTTGAGATTTTTTTCATGAAACAAGTGTGCCTTTGCCCAAAAAAGGTTGGGAAACACTGCCCTACAGCTCAACTCGGATAGATGCAATGCCAAAACATGGTCTGGCAAGTCAGGGCCACCTTCAAATGATCCTTATTCCACCTCTCTTCCATTCACATTCTCTACCTGATAGTTTTTACCAACCAAACTTAGCCCTTGTGTCCAATATTAGTGAAATGTGGTGAGTGCCTTGCTTCTAAACCAAGGTTCAAACTATTTCCTGAAAATATTTAGCCTACAGAAGGGCACATCACATGGAATTCTCAGGGCCTCCACTACTGAAGCAAAAATGTTCCTTACTTTCAGCCTGTCAAGCTCCTGCAGTTCTTTGTTGATGGAAGAAGACATGGGAGAATGGACTGATCCTCCACTCTGGCCAGATGACTGGCCCTCGCATTCACTCAGCTCCCTGGAAAGTTTCATAATCACTTCATCTTTGGCTTGAATGGTCTCCATAAGCATGCCCAGCTGCTCATTCAGCTCGCCCACCTTGCATTTCAAATTCTTTACTTCCTGCCGCAAACTGTCCTTCTCCAGATTAAGCTTTTCAAGCTGGTTGTTGAGACCCAATATCTGATTGTCTTTTTCATGAAGCAGCTCTAACTTATCTTTGGGGACTCCATCACAAAGATGCCCTACAAAATATTTGTCATACTGTGAAGATCTGACAGTCTGCTGCAGAAGCCGCACAAGTTCCTTTAAGGAGAAGGGAAAAAAGGATATTGGTGAACACGGTGGCATGCGCAAGTTAGATGTGCTTTACCTCTTAGCTACTGTTGATTTTAATTCCTCCTTTGACAGCTTTTATATGCTTGTGCTCAATTATTTTTACTGAGAATGTTTTTGTTTTCTTCCTATATACATCACGTTGCATCACATTGCAGTTTGCATGGCCACCATGCCAACTCCAGTGTGACAAATGGCAGCCAGGAGGAAGGAGAGGTGCTTCACAGACTGGTTTAGTAAGCTACTCTGAAGCACCTGCCTCCATTAAATGCAGTTGCAACAAGGCTTAACCAAGGCACTTCACAGAGGTTTAGCACAGGAGCTCATTCTGAAGCAGGAGCAGGCTGGCGGGGGAGGGGGCATTGGAAAGGGGTTGGCAGATAGACATGGTTGGTAAGTGGAGGGAGCAGAAGCAGTGGTCCCAATATTTTATATTTTTGTAAACCGCTTAGAGGTTTGCTTTACAATAAATAATAAACCATATTAAAAAAAACCTATTTGGTTAAATAAAAGATAAACCAGGTCTGTGCAACCAAGAGGTCTCTTAACTTCCATCACTTGTGCATCTACCCTCGTGACAGACATTACACCAATTTTTAAATTGAGGAAAGTTTTAAAACCATTGCAACATGAAACTGAATTCTGTTTAAAGAGAAGAATCAAACCTCTGGGTAGATGCCAGCCTTTGGCCATACCTACAGTAGATCTTCAAAATGAACAATTAGGATAGCAACTGGAAGCATTTTTAAACCAAGCACATCAAAATTCTGCTGCAAGTTAATCTCTCTCCCCACACCAACAATCATTCAAAAAAAATTCTGGGCAGCTTAAGACTTTGAATTGGGGACAATTACAGGTAAGTAGATAACAGTAGCCTTCCCCAACATAGTACTCTCCAGATGCTGTCAGATTCTAGCCCTAGCTAGCATGGCCAGGGATCATGGGAATTGAAGTACAGCAACATCTAGAACAGGGATGGGGAATTCACCCCAACAGATGCTGCAGAACTGCAACTCCCATCATCATAGCTGTCAACTTACAGATTAGAAAATAAGAGGCCAGCAGACTTGAAAATAAGGGACCAGCAGCCAAAATAAGGGACCTGCAGCCTCACCTGTTCCAGGCACTCCAGTCTTCCTGTCCTCCTGCAGTCTGGTCAAACTCATGCTGGTAGCTTCAAGAACACTGTCCAACCAACTTTGTAACCAGAGGTTCAACTGAATAGAATCTGAATCACATGCACCGCAAGGCCTATGCAGCCTCAACTTAAGATGGCTCCCCGGCCTGGCTTTGCACTGCAAAGTTTGCAGCAGCACGTGCAACAAAATGGCGTCCAGCATTCAAAAAACCCTCAGCTTGCATTAACTAGCCACACACAAGGCATGCAAGTTCCACCCCCCAGTTGTTCTTAAGACTTCTTATTGGGTGAGCAACACAGCCAAGCAACACAGTTGGAGCCTCCCTCCTCCCTGGCCGGCAGGGAGGGAGGGAGGGAGAGGAGCTGCTTCCTTTGAAATTTAAGGGACATCATTTAAGGGACATTTAAGGGACATCTATCAATAAGGGACAGCAGGGGGACATGGTGCTGGAATAAGGGACTGTCCCTTCAAATAAGGGACACTTGACAGCTATGCCCATCATCCATAGCCATTGGGGATGCTTGCTGGGGCTGATGACAGCCACAGTTCAGCAGCATTGTGTGGGGAAGGACAAATGTCACCCACTCAAGATTTAGAGGAATGAGGGTGGGAAAGGCTGCACCAAGGCACAAGAACCATGTTGGGCTGGACAGCATTTTAAGCAGCCATCTCTGAGTTTCTATTCAGTTCTTGTGCATGACAAAAAACAAACAACCCCTCCCCCCAAAGTTCTTAGCAGCAGTGAGGTCTCTGTAATTCTTTAAAAATGTATTTAAGAGGTCAGCTAGCTATTTTTTTAAATGAAGAATGCACACTAGTTACTGTCTTCACATAGGCTACAGAGGGAAAACCTGGCCCGTCCCTGGGTCTGGCAACCGCACATTTGTAGTATAAAGAACTCAGGGCAGGTGTAGAATGCCTGGGGCTGGGTCCCAGAAGATGCACATACAAAAATTTGGGAGTATTTCATTACATCCTCTAACATGCCTCTAAGGAAAAGGACCCCTAGATGGTTACGTCCAGTCAAAGGCAACTATGGGGTTGCAGTGCTCATCTCACTTTCTGGTCAAGGGATCTGGCGTTTGTCCACAGACAGCTTTCCAGGTCATGTGGCAAGCTTCTGGCGCAACAGGACACTGTGATGGAAACCAGAGCGCACGGAAACGCCATTTGCCTTCCCACCACAGCGGTACCTTGCACCGGCGTGCTTTCAAAATGCTAGGTTGGCAGAAGCTGGGACAGAGCAACAGGAGCTCACCCCCTTAAGCGGATTCAAACCATCAACCTTCTGATCGGCAAGCCCAAGAGGCGCTGTACTGTAGTCTAAACCACCAGCCTCTAATGTGTGCCAGGCAGGTTTTCCTGCACTGCTTGGCAAAACCTGCCATATATGATGCCAATGCTGGCTCCAGCTCCAGCTACTGTTCCTCTCTAGCTTGTAGACCAGTTACCTTTTGACTCAACAGCTCCTTCTCGAGACTCTCCAACTCTTCCTGTTGGCTCTGGAACTTCAACTGCATCTCGGAAGCCAGCTTGTTTCCATTACACTCATCAGAAGAAGACTCTGTGCTATTCCGGTTTTTGCTGCCTGCAATCATTTCCTTTAAAGGACGCCTTGTTCTGTGTGGAATGCGGCCAAAATCAAATGGAAAGGCTGGACCAGACACGCCTGCACAAGGAGATATATTTTTTTCCTCATTCAGACTAAAATGTATTTGGACACATTCCTTACTTTGTTAAAAAAACACAACTGTACTCAATCACCAAATCTGGAACAAAGGCTGAAGCAAGCACTTCCAAGTTGATTAATTAATTGTATGTCATCTGTTTCCTCCGGTTCTCTTCTCCCTGTCCCTTTAATTCTAAGCAAGAAATCATATACCAGGACAAAATTAGAACTGAAAAAAGAAGTGCCTGCTACTTCAGTGGATGTTCGTTTTAACTCTTTTTGCCACTACAAGGAAGTGAGCCCATAGTATGCGCTCTCATTTATCCTCTGTGGTTTGTGTTAGAACTAGGGTTACATTTGGAGACTTAGCCTCAGAATTCATTGTCTGTAGTGAGCTCCAACTCAATACAATAGTAAAGGAAACTGAGCAGTGAAGCACGTATTTCCTTCATCAGACTAACCACAAGTCACCACAAACGACTCTGATCAGATGGAAAACCTTCCCAATTTAAAGTTGAAAACATCTGTGCAGAAACAAACTCCTACCATTTTTAAAATCATCACATTTGTATCCTATCCATTTTCCTCCTCAGACTTCAGACTGACCTACCTGTAACTGACGTTTAGCCACAATTGCCATGGCTGAGTGTAGATTTGAACTCAAGTCTCCCCCCCAAACCTCTCTACTTGAATCTAAACCCCTATCAATTGCACCAAAATGCTGTATTCCTTACTCTCTTCACTCTTGCATATAGTACAATATAACCAATTTGCAACATATTGTTTAATAAAGAGCTACTTTGTGCTTAAAAGTACACTCAGAAAAATGCCTTGACAACAGCATGGGTCTGATGGAAATAAGTCACAGCAGTGCAAGTTTGAGTCCAGGTATCCCGGTAGCTAAGACAGAAAAATCCAAAAGCAAATCAGTTTCCAAGAAGAGATATTATCAGCATTCTTTATCAATAAAGAACCCATTTTCATGGTGTGCCTTTAGAGTGGACTGCATTTTCATCAGTCAATGGTATAGAAATATAAAGAATCTTAGCAAGTACAATAGTAGAAAAGATGGGGACGGGAGATGTGGGGAGAAGGAACACTGGAGTACCTTTGCTCTGCTCCCCTGAAAACCTCTTCCGATCTTGAACTATCGACTCCTCCAAATCCTTCGTATCTAGAAATTCCCACTCCTCTGTGTAAAAAATACTCTTACGGTTCTCATTGCTTCCTTTTCCAGTTCTTAGTGAAGACACAGAGTTCCTGGCAAGTACAGAAATTAAGAAGTAGTTATACAAACAGAGAGAAGTGTAATTTTTAAAATAAAGGATACACAACTGTAGAAATCAAAAGCAAGCAAAACTACTGTTTTGTTCAATTTCTCTTGGTTCCAAATTTACTCCAAAGCAGAGAACTTAGTTGATGCAGATGCCTACACTGCAAAAGTTTGTCAAATGTGCATTTAAATATCAAGGGCATTTAAATACTCTTCAGACTAAAAATTATTCCCAGGAAGATATAGAAAGGTGCTCAGCTGACATACACCAGCTATGGCTGATGGGCGTTGCAATCCGAAACATCAAGTGGGGAAGGCTGGACTATGCTTCAGACGTTTCCCACCCTGTCAATGACAGCCTGCTCCAAATAAGTCTCAAAATGCCATTTGCAGCATATGGTAATGCAATAAGTGACTCTGCTACAATCTATGACAGCAACAATGGATCACTCAAGGAATCCCTGAGGCTTTCCACTTAAAATAGTAAATCATTTCCTTTGTTGTTGTTGTTGTTTAGTCGTTTAGTCGTGTCCGACTCTTTGTGACCCCATGGACTAGAGCACGCCAGGCACCTCTGTCCTCCACTACCTCCTGCAGTTTGGTCAAACTCATGCTGGTAACCTCGAAAACACTATCCCCTTCATGGATCACTGCCTTGCCGTGGCGAAGGGGCTTGAAGAACTCAGAGAAGCTATGAACTACGCCGAGCAGGGCACACAAGATGAACAGGTCATAGTGGAGAGTTTTGACCAAACGTGATCCACCTGGAGGAGGAACCGGCAAGCTACTCCAGTATCCTTGCCAAGAAAACTCCATGGACAAAGACAACAGGCATATAAAAAATCATTTCCTACTACACTTAAATTCAAAGTACAGTGGTACCTTGGGTTATGAACATGTTTTTTCGGATTACGAATGATTTTAACCCAGAAGTGAGCTTTCCGAGCTCTCGGAGGCCTGGCCACTGCCCAGAGCCAAGCCCAGATATCCACGGGGCCTGCAGAGGGTCCGCGACTGGGCTCCAGCCATGGGAGCTCTCTGAGGCCTCCGTGAATGGTGGGAGCCAAGCTGATTGTGATTGTGGAAGAGGACCCTGAGCCCCCATCCAAACAATGGCTATCATCAGCGCAGGTAAGGAAAAAAATCACATTTTCATTTTGTACTGTTTTATTGATTTCATTTCATGGATCAATGGCCTCGTTAGATAGTAGAATCCATGTAAAATTGCCATTTTAGGGGTCGCTTTTCACCGTCTGGTTCCTGTTGTGTTTCGTTTGTTAATTGAGTCCCTCGCTGCTAATCAGAGGCTTCCTGTTGAGTCTGCCAGCTGTGGAGTCCCGAGCACCCACGCAACACAGAAGTTATATTTGGAGGTTTTGTTTTTGATTTTTTTGCATTTTGGTGTGGCTTTTTTGGTTTTTTGACTGTGGCTGGTTGTTCATTTTATGGGACTGACTTGTGACTTCGCTTCTGTGACTGTAGCTTGTGACTTCATTTTTGTGACTCGTTTTTGTGACTGTGTGGAACCCAGTTCAGCTACTGGTTGATTGTGTGACTGCAGAAATGGATAAAAGCCCCCCATCCAAACTGACTATCATCAGTGCACATAAGAAAATTGAAAATGGTAAGTAAAATATATTTTTTAAAAACAAATCAAGGCATGTAAAGCAACTTTATAAACACTATGAGGAAATGTATCCTTTGAATCCTTTGAATGAATGAACAACAACAATCTTTATTACGGTCCAGAGACCAACAAAACATTACAAATCAATACAGAGTTCATACAGCCTACCTCCAGGTTAATCAAGCACTTTGTTTGGAATATAGGGCTCATTTGTTCTTACAACCACCGATAAAAACTTTGCCACTGCCAACGTTCTGGCTTTTGTCCGGTCTTCCAGTAGGAACCTGACATTGTGAGCCTCTGACTTTCCCGGGAAAGGCACCAGCAAGGGTAGTATCAGCTCAGCTCTGGCCTGCTCATACTTCGCACAATGTAACAAAATATGATTTATGGAATCGATGTCTTGAGCACACGAGCAAAGTCTGTCCTGGTAGGGAACTCCTCTCAACCTACCATCCAGCACTGCAGAGGGGAAGACATTCAGTCTGGCTTTGGTGAAAAGCCTTCGATAGTTAGGTACTGTCAGGTTTTTGATGTAAGATGTTAACTCAAAGACATACCCATATTGAACTCCTGCTGCCAGTGGACTACAGACTGCGTGTGACCGAGATCGCAAGTCACTGTGTGCATTGTCCCATAATCTTTGCTTTAAAACCTTTTGGGCGCCTTCGTAACCCAGGTAATACAAGGCATGTAAAGCAACTTTATAAACACTATGAGGAAATGTATAAAGAGTGAAAACTGCCATTTGTTAGTTTGATATAAGAATTCCGGTTGCAAAATCTCGCCATATGATTACACCACTCAAGGGTTACTACAGTACATGCATTTAAGATACACTAATCTGCACCGAGCTTCAGGAAGTTTACCAGAACAGATGTATTTCAAGCAATCATGTTTGCCAAGAAATGAAGTCCTAAGTGCAGTCTTGAATTTGTGTAACACAATCTTGGTAACAGCAACCACTCTTCAACAACTGTACTAAAATTGCTCAGTAGCTGTTAAAACATATGAACACATATTGGCTAATTTTGCAAAGAGAAACATTCAAAGCACGTGATAAAACTGCTGTATTTCTGAAAGAGAAAGCCTGGCAATTGTGGTTAAGCAGTCAACAAGGGGGAACTTGGTAAAGTTCATGTTATTTCCCTTGGCTGACTCTACAATTTCCGCAAGATCTTGGAACTTCCTTCATATGTTTGGGGAGGGAGTTAGTGGTAAAGTACTTGTGAGAGATGCTAGACCAGCCTTTGTCAACCTGGTGCCCTCCAGATGTTGGATTACAGCTCCCACAGCTCCAGACATAAAATCTGGAGGACACCATGAGGCAAGGTGAGGCAGTGGCCTTTGGGCGGCAGGCTCCACACAGCTGCGAGGAGCAACAGTTCCACCTCCTGCACTTGATTGCACTCCTTGGCTGCACACTCTTCCCCTTGCTTTCTGGCTTTCCTCTTTTTCCCTCCTCACCCCCATTTTTCTTCTCCATTTAGTCCCCCTTGCTTCACCACAATGTTTCTCCTCCCCATTTCAGAGTCTTACTTCCCCTCCCTTTCTGTACCTCTATCAAACCTCTAGCCCACAGAGTCCCACTCAACTGCTGTGCTGTGTGCACAGCTCCCTCCCGACATGCAGGCTTCCAGCTTTGCAAGAGAGCAGCTTCAGTCTCCAGCCGGTAAGCCATGGTGCAAAGGCAAAAGACAGGTCAGTCAGTGGAATGGAAAGAGGAGGCGGGGGGGTTGCAGGGGAGGGGGTGCTCTTCTACCACCACAGTACTGTCCTCCATCCAAAGAACCATTTCAGTCAGTAAACAAAACAAAACAAAACTTGAGGGTGCAAAGCAGGACTGGAGAGGGGTGGCCTGAGCCCCAGGATAGAGGCTTGGAAGGCTGCATTGGTCCCTTAGCCTGAGATTCCCTATCCTTGCTGTAACCCAGCACCCTTAACAAACTACAATTCCCAAGGAGAGCACCATTTTCTGGTTCACCTCAGGCAGCAAAGTATCTTGGGCCAGGCCTGGAACCAAGTTGGTGAAACTTACACTAGACTATACAACAGTGGTGGGAAGCCTGTGCCCCTCCAGATCTTGAGGCATCAACCCATACGATCATGTAGGTGTGGTCAGAGAGGATGGGAGTTGTAGTCCAGCAACATGTGGAGGGCTGCAGGTTCCACATAATGTCCACAAAAGCTTGATCCAGCCAAGAAAAATGTTCATTTGATTTCCTCAGGAGAACCATACAACCATGCTGGCTGGGGCTGATGGGAGCTGTAGTTCAGGACATCTGGAGGACACCAGGTTGGCGAAGGCTACTTTATGCACAACCAGTTTGCCACATAGGAACACAATCTGATAAGTAACACAAAACAGATGACGGTTGAAGTTCTGTGCAGGGCTGATATTTCCCTATGTTATGCCCGAAGCAAAAGTTAACATTATACACTAGGAGCTAAAGGAGCACATGGAGGAAGGATCTGGAGCAGGCATCCCCAACCTGTGGCCCTCCAGATGCTTTGGCCTACAACTCCCATCATCCCTAGCTAACAGGACCAGTGGTCAGGGATGATGGGAATTGTAGACCAAAACATCTGGAGGGCCGAAGATTGGGGGTGCCTGATCTGGAGTAATTCAGAGATGCCTTAGTTTTCCTACAAACAGTATGCAAGATTCAGAATCCCATTATGGACATTTTTGTGGTCAAACTGACAAGCAGAGAAAAATTCTTAGACCATATTCAGAATTGCACATCCAACATTTTCCTTTCAAAAGCCTTTTTGTGCAACTAAGTAGCACAGGGGTGGGGGTATCAATCACACTCATTGAAATCACAAGAAGGATGTGGTTTAATTTTTCCAGCGCAACCAAGGCAACAGTTGCCACATGTGCCCTGCTCCATAACCATCTGGAAAAGGAACCAGGAGAGGACAATCCTCCAAGTACTGAAGCTTCGCCCCCTAGAAATTGATGGGAGCTTGTGCTGCAGAAGTACTTGCAAGACTTACTCCCCTGGGCAGCCTTTCAGCATTAATGAAAGGGTGCGAGTGGGGATGGTAAGAAATGCAAGAAGAGAAGTGATCGGAGGTCAGTTGCCACAAAACTGTTGCCAGAAGTTGGCCAAGGTCAAAACAGTGACTTCAGCAGCAGCACAAGCCTTATAAATGGTTACTTCTTAGATATTCAATGTGCCTTTCCCACTATTTAAAAAGAGAACACAAAGGCAGAGAGATATTTATGGGGTGTTTTTCATTACAATGTTTCAAGACATTTGTTTTAAAGATGTATCAATCAATCTCTTTATTATGTTCAATGACCAATATTGTTTCAAAGATAAATGATCTAGAACTTTTTAAACAGGAGTAACAGTGTATTGTGTGAACAGAGTATTATGAGCGAAAGAGAGCTGGTGCAGCATGGTGGGTAAGACGCTACATTTCATCATTGCTTCAACTTTCTCCTTACCAGAAAGCTGAAAGGTACCAATGTATTTTTTATGATGAAATTACAGATCTGCCAACTAAATTCTGCTTCATGTAAACTGGTGGAAAGCATCAGTGAGGGGAAAATTGTTCAACGAAAGAACCACCATTTGCTCATAACAGAAACATGGTGTGGAAAATAATCACACCATGGACAAAATTTCCTATGAGAAGAGATTTTCACTCAGAGATGCACCTTGTGTGGCAGGTTCTAGTACATTCTAATCACTCCATTTCCACACCTTGAGATGCTTTAGGTAGCAAACTGACATAGGAACTGGACTCCCATATGGATTTTCACAGGTCCCCCACTGGTTTTAACTTTGTCTTAAAGTCCTGTTCCCTGATCACTGGCACCCCTAGTCAGCTTAGCTCCATCTCCACTGCCTTGATTAGATTTAGCCTACATGTTTCCCCTGAAACATAATAAAGTTATTATGGAAGCCAGTGGGCTGCAAGTTGAATGTTGCTGCTGGGAACCTAGGTCCAAATGTTACCTCTGCTAAATCATGAACAGCTTCAGTTCAAAATGTATTATTTTTGGGGAGGGGAAGAAATATCATCTGCTCCACAGGCTTAATCCAAACATAAACATTTTTGCAATCACATGGTAGTATTTATGCCACCCCCATTAGATGAACACTGTCAAGTAACACAACACACAATACTCACTTGATATCTGTACCCAGTTGCTTCAAAGAAAAGTTAATGGCACTTGGCTGGCCTGGGGCTGGCTGGCACGCTGCCTGTTCTCCCACCAGTTCTGTGCGTGCTGCCTCCACCATTAGGACATTTCTAGCTTTCTCTGCTGATGCATTTGAAAACATGGTGGTCCAATCTAAGAAGGGCAAAAAACACCACCAGTACTTAATAATGCAGCTGACACCCCAGCAGTCCGCATCAAGGCTCATGGAGGGCAAATTCAGAGGACTTCTAACATGTCATGAAGGAAGGTATTGAGCTCCCCTCATAAGTACCCCAGGAAATCCAACAACTATGGTGCTGAAGAGTTAATACTCACCTCAAGGCCAGCTAAGCAAGTCATGCAAATTGGCTATAACTCACAGCATCTCATGCAGTCATTAAAGCAGAGCTTTCCAAACTTTTCACATTGGTGACAGACTTTTTAGACATGCATCGTTTTGTGACACAGTAATTCAGATTTACTAGCAAACTGGAGGTTAAACTAACCCATTTCCAGCCCTGGGAGGAGCACGGGGAGCATTTGAGTGACACACCTGCACACTGCAGCTGACACACTAATGTTTGAAAAGCTCTGCATTAAAGTTTAGAGAATAAAACTGGAATTCAGAATGAGTGTGGGGAAGGGTAGCAGAAACCAACCAAGATAAACCAACAATTATGTCAGTATCTCACAACTGATTCTAGCACATGCAGGTATTCTAATGCTTCAGGTACCTAAGAATTAGGCCAAACATTATTTATGTGTAATTGTGTAGCCCCCTCCCCACTAAATACACGCAGGTATTTAAAGGTACAAATTCAAGAGTTTGAATGAGTACATACCATCTCAGGAAGTACAAGAGGTACACTCATAATGGGCCATATTCCTCCTCTGCTCTGTCAAAGGGCCCAGAGCATGGAGAGGAGCTGGCAATCACTGGGCAGTCTAACAGTATCTTTACATACACCTTGAAGCTTCCTCACTTAACATGCAACCAGAAGTGGGAAAGCCCACCTCCAAAGTTCTGCAGGCACATGAAAGCCACAGGGCCCAGTTTTCTAAGCAAGGAGGCCCTTGCTTCCTTCACCTCCCACTAGCCCTCAGCGACATCAAGAGTGATAGATTAACAGGTAGTCCTTCCTAGTACTCTTCCCTCTGTCAGTAGCATTACACAAGAATAGAGCAAGAAAGAGAGAGAAAAGATTATTGAAGTATTCCTCCTCCTTGCACCAAACTGCATACATCTGATGGCTGCACCATATCAGGCTTTGTCTCCGTTAACAAGGGACATGTTCTGCTATCTGGATCTAAAGCATACAATGATTTCCAGGTTTCAAGAAAACCACTACTCCAAGGTGAGCCAAGTTTAGAGCTGTAGACACACCTTCAACCATTTCCACTACAGTACAAAGTTGTCAGCACTCTGCTAAAATGAGTAATGTGTGAAAACCAGCAGGATGAAGCAAAGCAAAGCAAAGCAATTCCCCTCCCCGACCAACATGGCCCCAGGAAAGAATGCTAATGCTCATGCCCAGTTAACAAATGCCCACACTTCTTGCTGTTTTATGACAGAAATGCATATACAGTAATGTAAAACCACATCACATTTGTATGGATTCTCTTCTCCAGATCACAACCAGTATGAAATCCACAGGAATGCTGGAGTGTTTTGAGGACATTTACATAACCTACAATCAAGGACACAGTCTTTCAGCTTGGATGAAGCCAAAGATCTGCTTAACACTCAGTTATTAAAATTACATAAAACAGACTACAACCATCAATGATTAGGCAGGAAAAGCTATTAGCCAAATAAAATGCTGCATCAGTGGAAGACAATCAAATAGAACCTTTCTAAGTTAAGTGAGCTCTGCATGTTTCCAAATATTCATCATGTAATGTGCCCCCACAACATGAAATTTCCTCACCTTCATTCTTGGGGCTGCTGTGATTAGCAAGGGAGGAGAGACTCCCAGGTTCAGACATGGCTTAGTGACATGTGAATGGGTTGATCCTGCTCCTGGAACTATGTGCTCACCTTCTCTTTCCACAAAATGGCTATGAGGGGTTTGGGAGCTTTCACTTTTTGTTGTTTATGGTTTCACCTGAACTGGGGAACTTGGGTGTTTCAAACAGGCTAGCTTGTTTACAGTGGGCTTATTTTGAAACAGACTATTGTCAGGGTCAAGCCAAGATGAAATGGGAAATCACAGTTAACTGAGAGTAAAGGCTTCCAAAGCCTTCCCCCCAACCACACAGGAGGAAGATAGGCTTATTCGCTTAGTGAAAAACCATGGTTTAGCATGATGTCGGAAGAGATCAACCCCAAAACTCTCAGCCTGAGAGTGCTTGCAATTGTGGTCTGGGCAGGGTAATTATGGGCTAGATTAAGTGGCATTCCCCACTGGTGACCATAGAAAAACAGTATGATGAGGCAGCAAGTTAATCAACTGCCAGGAAATTTATGTTCCATTTACTCTTAATACAAACACTGGAAGGGAGTGGCTTGTGTTGGAGCACAGACTTACTTTGAGCTGTTCATGCCCCATATCACCTGCCCATTGCCGGTTTAATCATGACTAGGACACCTGCGACATTCTACTAGAACAACAGGCTGTTGACTGGCATGAAACCTTGCTTGGGTTCTCATCTGGGTTTCTTAAAAAACATCTACTCAAAAGGAAGGTTTTGGTGTGACCTTACCTAAAACTTTTACCAGCATGGAAGCTGTTTCAACAAAAGATACCTCCCCTGCTTATTTTATATCAATTATAAATACAATTTAACCTAAGTGAAAATGATGCAGTCAGAAATGTACTATTTAAATTACCTTATAATCTGATAACAACACTCATTGAATAAATACAATTTCCTCAGTTATCCGTAATACTGCAAAGTTATTTATTGCTTATATTCACTCACACACAAATATAGGAATGAAGCCAGAAAGACAAGACTCTGCACACAAAATCTACCATAAATCAGAGAAAGCTCAAAGCAGTTTTCAATTAGAATAATTTTCCAAATGCTGGTAGTACAATGGTCCCCATACACAACATTGCACTATATTTTATGCTCACTGCCCACTTCTTTGTAAACATGAACATTAGGAAGAAAGCTACCATGAATGCCTTCTTGTTTCAGCTGGATGACAAACAGTACTGCAATATCACACTTAATGTAAATTGCAATATAAAGTTTTCATTTAAAATATTTAAAGTATCTATATATTGACTTATAAACATGGCAGTGCTGTCGACAAAAAATCAGTTAACAATAAATAACTGCCTTGAAATACAATCCGTGAAATTATAATCCATAGAAAAAGCAGCAAAAAACCCAGCAATAGTAGATTGCCAACGTATCTGATTTTATTTATCTCAAAGTTTTTTGGTCTAGAAAGGTACAATCGGCATAACTAAATAACTATCACAAAATCAATAAGGTTTCTAAAAATGCTATTTCTCAAGTCAGCTTCAAAAAAGTTGTACAGTTGTACCTTGGCTCTTCAACGCCTTAGGAGTAGAATGTTCTGGCTCCCAAACAGAAACCAGAAGTGAGTGTTCTGGTTTTCAAACGGATTTCCGGAACGGATTCTGTTCGACTTCCGAGGTACAACTGTACTTATTCTGCAGCAGATTTATGAAATTCCAGGAGCAATGAAATTAAAAAGATTGCCTATTAAGTAGAAAATCCCCCTCCCCCCAGATCAATTGTGTTAAAAATAAAATAGCTAAGTAACTTTCAGAAGCTGAATGTTCAAAGCATGATACTAGTTAGGAAGAGAAAAGCAATCACACCCACAAATAATTGGATTTTGGGTAAGGATATTACTAAGATACCTGTTTTGTCTCAACAAAATTTGACCAATTATAATTTGGCCTACTGGTCAGAACACAGGCATTTGGCAATGCACTTACAGAATTATTTTGGCCCAATTTACATGTACTTTCTTTACCTGATCTTAAAGATCCAATTCCTGACTTGTGTGAGGAAACCTCACATTCTTATGGGGAAATTTCACTCAAGTTCAGTATTCAAAACCTGGGACAATGAAATGCGGCCATTTCTGATAAGATAACTCATAAGTTAACTCTTGAAAGGCACTGAGGACCTAGAAGCTCTCCCTCCTACTTGGTGGGGTTTTATTGCTTCTGCCAATAATGCTGATCTACAAAGTCTATTGCCAATACCGGCAGGTAAAATTTGGAATTCTTAAAAACTCTTTCTGTTTTCTGTCACGATGTATGCTGCTGCTTAGAAGTCAGAATAGCATTTTATAGCTTTTCTAAATCTTGGTTTCCACATAGTTGATATGGTTTTCTTTTGTATTGTTTTTAAAATAAAAATCTAATTAAAGAACAGAAATTGTGAAAATGCAGTATTTTCTTCAGAAGACAACCTTCATTGCTACTGCAATGGTCTGAATGTGGCTGGATTAGTGGCACAACTCCACTATTTCCATAGCTTTTTTATAATAAAAAAACCCACATTTTGGACGCTCTGTGCTCTACCTAATGTTCATGTATTTATATATATTGTTAACAAAAATGTGGAGGGGAACCAGTATTACTATTCCCACCCATCTATAACATACACATATTATACTACTAGCATTGAACATCACACAAAGGTTAAGACATATCTGGAGCAGCTTTGATGGATTGTGTAAATAACACTGAGACTTACAGGGCAATCCTATAAAAACCAACAAGCAACTAGGATGACCTTTGAATTGTTTACTACCCTAAGATTTCCTGTTCCAAATGTCATTTACATGAGACCGATAGGTTTATTTATTTCTTCTTTATTTATTTCTTCTCAGGATAAGAGAATCTAATGAACTTCACAAACCTTGACATCTGTGATGGGTCTAACATGTCAGATTTTATGTTTTAGCATATAGTGATGCAGGTGTCATGCCGGTGACAAATTAAATTTTTATATTGCATTTTATGCCACCAGTGGTTGAAATGTTCCAACTCACCCTGAGAATTTGGAGCAGGACAGGAAATCAAATTGAATATTAAATAAAGAAGCCACTAAAACTGAGTAAGCAGTTACAGCACAATCCATTAAACGTTATCAAGCACCCTCTCTACACTTCAGCTAATTGTGCCCACAATCTACCTTTCATGGAAACTAAGTTGAGCTATGTGTAGAGTTGGCAGTTGCACTTAGAATTTGAAAAATATTATGATACTGCCACCAACAAAGTTATATGACTCACATTCTCGACCAGTCTCAACATTAGCTTACCAGTATTATCTTTGGCAACAAGCCCTTTGGAGGAGTCACATGGTGTCGGTGAAATTTGACTGACTCTCTTAGTTGCATCATGGCTGTTACAATACTCCCATCTCCTCTGCTGAAGCTCCTGAAGCCAGTACTTCATATCCTGGTGTGTTGGTGCCTGTTACACACACAAGCAGAAACGTTGAAAACATTACAAGAGGAATACTGCACAAGGAATGGAAGGTGCCTGCATACGCATGGACACACAAAAAGGTGCCTGTCATCTGTGTGAAAATACAGAAAGGCTGCTACATTACGGCTGGTCATCCATAAGCTGCACTAAAATGGAAATAACCCAACAACTGTGTTCAGGGACTTGCATCCTTCTATGCTAAGTATTCGATTACAAGATAAAAGATGCAGTTCTGATGTGTGTATGTGGCTCATGCAGTCCAAATTCCATCCAAGTTGGGGACCTGTCAAGCAAGCCTAGCTATTGCATTTTTTGCAATGGCTTGGTGTCCCATTACATGTCTACCTCTCTCTGTAGTTGACAACAGGAATCTTTAAGTTGGACTACTTTTGAATTATGGTGCTGGAGGAGACTCTTGAGAGTCCCATGGACTGCAAGAAGATCAAACGCATCCATTCTTAAGGAAATCAGACCTGAGTGCTCACTGGAAGGACAGATCGTGATGTTGAGGCTCCAATACTTTGGCCACCTCATGAGAAGAGAAGACACCCTGGAAAAGACCCTGATGTTGGGAAAGATGGAGGGCACAAGGAGAAGGGGGCGACAGAGGATGAGATGGTTGGATAGTGTTCTCGAAGCTACAAACATGAGCCTGACCAAACTGCGGGAGGCGGTGGAAGACAGGAGTGCCTGGCGTGCTCTGGTCCATGGGGTCACGAAGAGTCGGACACGACTAAACGACTAAACAACAACAACTTTTACCATGTTGTTATTGGAAGGCATCAGCACAGTGCTCTATGTGTTCACACTTTATCCATGCTTGCCACTACTTTCTTCAAACTGATCTAGATTGGCCTACAATAAGAATAAGAATAAGATTTATTATAGGATCATGTTTAGTAACAGAATGAATACTTTCAGAATAATGAATCTCATATACAGAGCAACTTGGGGCAGATGGAGAGACCACAATGGACTCTTGATTATTGGGGAGTCCGTTTTTCATGAGGTGGTTTATATTTTTCAGTCTACCTTTCCTAAACTTAAAATATTTGTCTAATGATGAATGTTTACAGTTTGTCTTCACTATAAAGAAAACATGTTACGTATTGATAAGATCGAGGAACAGGAAAGAAAGCTGAAACCTCAAAGAAACAGGCAACCACAACATATGCTGTGAGTTAATTCATCTTCCTGTCACAGTGAAAGCAATAAAGGTCAGCATCACTCAGGCAAATAAGCCTGCAGCATCTTAAATACTAATGAATTGATTGTGACATTAGCTTTCATAGGAAAGGCATGAAATTATCTGGAAGAGACAGTGCTTGACTGCTAGTTAAGGGAAGGGATGTTCTGACTCAATAGGAAAAACCCACAAGAGGAAGCCAATTGTCAAGAAACTGCATTGCATCATGTTTGAATAACAGCACCATTCTCAGAAGTCCCACTGTAACCCCTGTAACTTATTCTCAGGGAGGCCTAACAGGATTGGAGTTCAGTGGGGTGCATGTCTGGGTAAACAAGTATTCAATTAGGATGTACAACATTTACTTGGAAGCAACTCCCACCAACCAGTGACACTGCAACAGACACAGCTTTTGTGCAAAAAAAAATTTACTGCGCAACTTTTCAGTCACAACTATCTAGCAAGGTTACCTTCATTTTCTCCAGGTAATAAAGAGCCTGTGGGTTGATATCTTAGGATTCAGGATATGACAGGCCTAAAACCATTTTGCTCTTTTCCTGTAGCTTTCACAACCTCCAGCTTAAGCCAATATGGTTCAGAAAACATCATCACATCATTACCTACATCACAGGATTAGCAAAAGCATTTTGCACACTTAACATTTCTGACCTTGGAACAGGAGGCTGCCAAAATGAATAGGATCGCAATGCAGCCAGAAGCCACATTGCTCTAGTACAACAGGCCTGAAGTTGCATTACACGAGCACAACACAACTGCTAGCTATAAAGTGGTGACTTGGAAAAACTCCCCAAAGGACACAGATTTAATATTTCCCATGTCATTTCTTAGTGTTCCTATAATGTTAAGAATAATGGATTGGAGAGTCCATCCCATGATACATTCAGAAACTGTGAATCAGCAGCAAGTTTAGGAATATTAAAGCATGTGAGCATGAAGAAGCCTATGTTTGATTTGACTTTCTTCCTTGAAAATATTGTTCTGCTCTTATACGGAGTTTTTCCTTGAAAGGATAAATCCATTAAGCTTGAAATGTAAAGCACAAATTCAGTAATGGGCTCCATTTAATCCTGAAATAAATACTTAAGAACACCAATGCCTAAACTAAACATTTGGCAGCAAAATTATTATTCTTTTAATAGGCTTTAGGAATCCTCTTCACACCCAAACCCTAAGAGCCAATGTAGTAGGACAAGATGCTTGGATAATCCAGGATGTTCTTTTCACAGAGCCATCATTGGAGTTTTTGCAAGATAAAGGAGGTTATTGCTATTGTGAACAGCTACAGAACATGGAACCATGTTTCATCAACCATAGTTCCCCAGCTTGGACAAACCAGGGAGCTATGGCTTGTTTGATCACTCCTATGTAGAAAAGAATGAAGCAGCAGCACATGAGTGAATAAGGTTTGTTCATTTAGCAGAATGTTAAGATGAAACACAGTGGCTGAAACACAGCTAAAGAATAAGTGTAACAAGTCACAGAAGGTGGCTCAAAGCCAGATCAGCAACATCAGAGCAAAAGGGAAGCGAAGCCCAACAAAAATGATAGAACTAACAATTAAGGAAGAACCAATTGTCCACCTTATTCTTTTGTCACTCCACCCCACCAAACATTAGTGCCACCTGATACTGTACTGTGAAATTACTGCATTGATACTCAACTAGAAAAGGGAAAGGTATGCCTCTTGCAGTCACAGGTCAAGGCAACATTGAAATGTTGGAAGCAGGTACATCCAGGGTGCATTTTAACATACTCATCCTGGCTACTGAAGCAATTCATTATTTTACAGTCCCACTGTAAGCATGTTTCCTCAGAAATAAACCTCACAATGTTCACCAGGAATTAAATCCAAATACGTGTGCAAAGGATTGCTGCCAGCTATTACACCACATTTTGCCTTCACGCTGTATACAGATTGCTGTTCAAGCCCTCAGCTCCAACCTACTGAGCAAGATGCTATAATTCTCAGAATGATTTTGTAACAGAGCACCTAATATCTACAAGAGAAAATTACTTATGGAAACGTATCACTGAAGAGCACAGCTCTCTCAGAACTGGTTAAATCAGAGAAACATTTTCATTTACAGTTTTAAATGCATTGTTTATTACATTATTTGTACATGGATAGCAATACCAAAAGCAGAGCAATAAATGCATTTTCTATTTTTTATTACTGTTTGGACATGTTTTGGTATTGCAGTTACACGTGGCATGTGGCTTTAGGCACAGACAGCACTGAAATACTGTTTTATTAGCTTGTGGGGCTAGACTACTCTGCTGAAGAAATAATTCTGGTATGAATTGTGGAGTAAAAGGTCTAGCTCTGTCCTGCAACTCAGTTGTTTCACCTTGCTTTTCTTGTATTATAACTAACAGGGAAGTGAGTTGTTCCAGCTCTTCCTGCAATACTGACTGATGGTTTCTTGGCTTACCCCACAGACTATCTTGACAGAGGTGCCATGTGGTCTTTGCCACCATCCCAGCTCAGCAGCTCTCTAGGTCCTGCCCACAATGACACTGTTAAGTGTGCACTTTAGCCATGCTTTAGGGTAGGTACCTTTGGATATGAAACTGGAAGGTTTTCCTTCCCTCAGTCTTTATTGCTTGGGTGAGAGAGATTCAAAACAGAATCAGAAGTTATCAAAGGGGAAAGAGAACAGGTGCTCCAGATTAGTTAATGCTGATTTGTGTGTGTGTTTTTAGTGTAATCATCTTGGTAACACAAATACATGGTTAGGCAAACCAAATTAAATTCTCCAACAATCTCTTCCTCTGATCCTGCATATAGATGGATAAGGATTTCCAAGGAAGTGCCAGACGATATGCCCAGACAGGTTAACCTATCTGGAAAGAATATCTGTGCGCCAGAGAACATGCTTTGCATACAAACAGTAACAGGTATATCCAGGCAGGGCTGGGAAATACCCATTTGAAATCCTGGAGAACCCCTGCTAAGCAGAGTAGTCAACACTAAGCTGGATGGGGGAATGGTCTGACTCTGCTGAAGCCACTTGCGCAAACCTGTATGTAGAAGCAAGCTCCGCTTGAGCCCAGATGGTTTGGGGATCTGGGTCCTTCAGACAGGGCAGCTGGTGGAGGAGCAAAGATTTGAGGGTTTGCTTTTTCCAACAATCAAGCTGTATGTAAACTTGATGAAATAAATACTGTAAATAACGCTTAACGGGACTCAGTGACAGGCTAAAGGGGGGGGGGGAGCGCGCATGGTGGTAGCCTCGAGGAAGCGACCTTACCTGAGGAAGTTACCTGAGAGCAAGCCCCGCCCCACAAGCCTAAGCGGGCTGGCTTGGAGGTCCATCCCCGCCTCGGAGAGTTCCCTGCCCCGCTTGACCCTCCCTCAGGACCCCTTTATATACGGTATCTTTATTGTCATTGTCCCATGCAGAACGATGAAATTGAAAAACTACATAAAACATTCAAAACCCCCTAAAAACTCTGAAACCCCATTTTAAAATACACTATACTGTAGAGAGCTATAGTAGGGAGCTCCCAAGGAGGGGCGCGCGGCGGGGCCGGCGAAGCGGGGCAGCTACCCCGGACCCACCCCGGGGAGGCCCCCGTTCTACCTTGAGGACGGTGACGCCGCCGCCGGGGCTGTGGATCTCGAATGTGCTGCCGAGGGCGGCCTCGACATCCCCGACACCGCCGCCGCCGCTGCTGTCGCCGCCGCCGGAAAAGGAGCAGGAGGACGAGGCGGCGGAGAAGGAGGCGGAGGCCGGGGCGGCGGCGGCGGCGGCGGCAGCGCCGGGGGCCTCGGCCGGCTGGTGGTAGCTGAAGGAGGCTCCGGCGATGTCGAGGCGCCCGAGGGGCACCGCCTCCTGGGAGCCCTTGAAGTAGTAGAGGGCGCAGCAGCGCGGGTCGAAGGCGAACCAGCGGCTGCGGAAGCCCCGCAGCGGGCCCTTCCCCGTCAGCTTCTGCAGGTAGCCGCACAGCCGGGGCCGCTCCGAGGCCGAGGGGGGCGCCGCCGCCGCCGCCGGAGGACCTTCCCCAGGCGCGGCGGCGCCGTCGCCTTCTGCCTCCTCGCAGCAGCCCGCAGAAGGCATCGCGGCGGCAAGAGCAGCAGCAGCAGCGCCGCCGCCGCCTCTCTGCGCTCCTGAGAGGGTGTGAGGCTACAGGGCTGGGCGGCCTTCCGCAGCGCCCTCCCCAGACCTGGCTTTGCCCCCGGAGCATGCTGGGACTTGTAGTCCGCTCTTTCTGAGGCGAAGCGCCAGGCCGCCTACGCCTCCGCCCTTCTCCCCGCCTCGGTAGGCCCTGAGGAGGCAAGGGCGAGGGTTGCCACATAGGCCAGGAGGCGCGCGAGGAGCTGGTGGGGTTAATTTAAATTAATTGTAAGCGTTCTTGCTGGCTTTTTAGTGATTTATTTCCTGAATTCATTTTCCATACCGCCTTTCTTCCAAGGAGCTCAAGGCGGCGTTCAGGGTTCTTGCAGTTCCCATTTACTTTCCTCACATCGCTCGTGTGAGGAAGAGTAAGTGGCCCAAGGTCACATGCAGTGAGCTTCATGTGGTAAATATATTTATTTAATTTGTATATCACCCATCCTTTGAAGATTTGAATCCTGGAGTCTCCAGGTCTGACCCTCTTACTGCTGGCTCCTGCTATACGGTATACTGGGATGTATCGCTTGATTGTTTTAAAAAACAAAATAAAACTCAAAGTGGCATACAAAAATATTAATACATTTATTGGTAAAGGCAATTAACAACAGCATACATTTAAAGTACATTCAGAGCACAGTGCTTCCCCCAAATCCTGGGAACTAGTTTCCCCTTTGGCCACGATTCCCAGCACCCTGAACAGACGACTGTTCCCAGGATTTGGGGGGGGGGCAGGTAAGTAATGCATGGGGTGTAAGCAGTCATAGTTTGCAAGGAGCTTCCAAACCAGAATCTCAAACTATGTTTTGAAGATGATTTGGAAACCACAGTTTGGGCAAACTGGTGTTCAGTGTTACTTCTGGACCAACAAAAATGGTTTCAAACATTGCCCTGCCCTCAGTGACTTTTGTTGGTAGAATCCAGGGATTATTAGGAAGGGCGAACAAAGAACCCATGGTTTGCTTGTATCTCTGCAATACAATTGACGCGCTGTGGTTTTATCTCAGTGTAAACCATGGTTTGCTGTTACACCTGCATATCTATTTATTGCATTTGGGTCATTCCATGTCAAGTGATACAGAAACTTTTACCTTACCATTTTAAATTACTCTCATTTTCAGTTTTCTAAAAATAGTATAAAGGAAGGTTCCAGATCTGTTTTTAATTTTTTTTAACTCATCCCATTTTTGAGTTATTACGGTTTGAAATTTCAAATAATTGACAATTTTGGCCTTGCCCCCTACCTTAAAAGCTCAACCTAGACTTCAAACCATAATATCTGTTACTTCAGGCATTTCTTTTAAAAAGTTACTCAGTTAAAAAGTATATGAAAAACTAGTCAGGCTTTGCTTTTAAAAATGTATTCAAAAGTAGTTTCAGCTTGTTTGAACCAGCACTGACTGGCTTTTATGTGTATGGACAAGCTGTGGCTTGTTGTACAGGGCTCGGCAGTGAGTTGGGAGTCTTATCTCAGCTCTTGGGTTGATCAGTTTATTAAATTTTACTGTGACTCTGACATGTACTAATATATTTTCACTAAAGACTGTCTGCAAAAGAAAGAAATGTGATGTCTAATATGATATATTGCTGTAATCCTTTTAGTAAAATTAGTCACTAGCAGCATCATTTGTTGACCCATCTAGTTGGGTTATACTCACCTTGTCATGGTGAGTGGGCTTGAACGTTCCTATGATCCTAGTGAGCAAAGCCGTTGGGAGTCTCGTACTCTCAATAGGGTCATGCAAGGCGGTAAGGTCCGGGGAGAGAAGCTAGACAAATAATGATCCAAGAAGACCTCAATGGCAGAACAGGCAGAAGATAACAAGCGGCATGTTACCACAGGTGTGAAGGTGGAAGAAGGCTGCAGCATATAAGAATCTACCGGATGTTGTGATACTCATGCCATCGGAATAGAGCCTTACTGCAAAGAGTCCCATGGTGATTGGCAAATTGTAACAAGGGCAGGACCGTGAAATCTGGAAGCACCTGGTCATGAACCGTCACATGGGTGGTGGATACAGATTCAGTCATTCTGACTTAAGGAATGAGGCGTTGAATAGCTTGGCAGCTGACGACTGAACAGTCCTATTTGGGATCCACTTTGCTCATCTCTAAAAGGAGAAGGGGCTAGAAAAGGTGCACTAAACATAGTCTGCCTCCTTTTTCCCCTGACTGCATTACTGCGCCCAGTGGGGTCACCACCCAGCAGTCATAAAAGACAATTGACCTTTGGAACATGGAATAGACAGATTACACAAATAACGAGCGCCCCGAGCACAGGAATGCTCTCATTGCAAGAGAGTTGCGATGTTTTAACATAGATATTGCAGCTCTTAAAGAAACTTGAAGAGCAGGAGAGGGACAACTGAAGGAAGAAAAAGGAGGCTACACATTCTTCTGGAAAGGTCTACCTGAAAAACAAGAAAGTCAAATATAGTCGGACCTCGTGTTACGTTTGCTTCACATTGTGGCTTTTCAGGTTACAAATGCAGCAACCCCAGAAGTGTTTGCTTCCGAGTTCGCCACGCATGCACACGCAGAAGTGACCTGTGCACTTCGCACATGCACAGAAGCGCTCTATCGCGTTTTGCTCACACGCAGTAGTGGCGCTCTACTTACAGACTTTTCAGGGAGCGAACGGCACCTCAAAACTGATCATGTTCATAAGTAGAGGTACCACTGTACATGGAGTAGGCTTTGCTATCAAAAACGATATTGTGAAGCTTGTGGTAATAATTTACCTCTACACTACCTTGTTTGTTACCCAGGTGAGGAACAACCACCTTTTGAATAAATCACAGAACCAAGGAAACTATTTTCAAGTCCAGCATCTGGATTTAGGGACCCAGCATTTATTATAGCTATTGCAATAGGACAGAGCTCATTCAACATGCCAGTTAAGAAGGTCTGCCCCCAGGCACTTCAGAAAAAAAGCTCATATAGTAGTTCAACCACAGCAAACAAAGAGTCATAAAACATCTTGACATACGTCAGGAAAGTCATGAGAAGTAAAGCACATATGGCTCCATACTGATATCTTCACTCCTACATCACCTTGGAGTGGCCCTGATGTGCCCAGGTCATTTGACCATCTTAGTTAGGGGTTGGCAAGGTTTACCTCACCTGGGCTGGTTCACTGGGGATCCTTCTGTGGGCCGGATCGCACGCACGCATAAGCTTGCGTGGCTGTGATTTCCTGCGGCTGCATCTGTGCAGACATGATTTCCGGGGTCTGCACCTGCACGGATGAGATTTTCAGCGTCTGAGCATGCGCAGACATGATTTCCAGCAATGCAGAAGTGAGTCTGTGCCACGCTGTGCCGGTTTAGCATAGCACGTGGGGACTTGCCAAGTGGGCAGCTCGTGGGCCGTGGGCCGGTTAAATGACCCCCATGGGCCACTTGTGGCCCACGGGCCTTAGGTTGCCTATCCCTGATCTTAGGTCTCTGGTGTCCAGCATTACCCTGGCAAAATAGCCTTCATTGATGGAAGAGCATAATAAAATCCTCTTCCTGGGTCTCAGATAACTTCAAGAATTGCTGATTTACACTCTGGTGCTGAAACATCCTGCCATTTGTATCACTTTCAGGGGTAGATAAAGAGAGATGGAATGCAGCGTAGGAGGGGGAAGACTCACAAATGCAGAACACACAAAATCAAGCCTAATACATTCTAAAATGTTTTAACAATTAAAGTGAAACATTTAAACATTATTAAAATAATAAAAATATACACCCGGGGTCTCTAATTCTTATACCATTCCCCCTTTGATCCTAACCTTATCAAGGATTATAATCATACTTTATCAAAGTTATCAATCTACCAATTGGCCTTTTTACAAAACACACTTTTACAAGCATTGAATACCACAACATAGCAATATAATAATACAGAGAATGACTGAGAGGAAAACTAATACCCCCCCTTAAGGCTTTCTTGATCCAACTATCTGAGGATTCCAATATGAGATTCCTTTTAATCATTTATGGACTTTTAAGAACCTTGGGAGAAGTATTCTCTCTTGTTATAAACATGTTTGTCTATGCTTTACACTCAGCAGGAAGGTTTATTCATAAAGAAGCACGAAGTTTTACTGCTTTAGCTTGATTTTGTGCCCAGTGTCAATTTAGTCTTCTGGACCCCTTCTCTTTGCTATTCCACAACAACACCCCATTAATGAATTCTTGTTAAAGGGCTTTCATCAATCAGCAGCAGCCTCCCAATTTGGCACAGATGTTGACACATCCTAACAGAAATGTCTTCACCCTTCTGGGAGGTTCTTAACTTGCTGTGAACTTCACTCAAGGGTGAATCGCTTTCCAACACTCCAGAGGGACACGAAAAGGCTAATTGCACCTTGGGTTCACTTGCCCAATCCAAAAGCAAAATCTAATTAGAATTTTTCTATAACCCCAAAATTTCAAGTCCAGAAACTAATTTGTTAAACAATTCCAGTAGGTGCATTTGTCCAAATTAACTACTTTTACTCTATAAAGCACATACAGACTTCCTTCACACGTGCAGTGATTCCTGCTTAATCAAAGCATATATTTATGTGCTACTGTTAACTTGTTTCCCACGGTGCTTCTCCTGAAACCATTGGATCAATAGGGAAGATTGGGACACATGTAGAAACAAAGAAATGTGGTCACCAATTGACCTATTTTGAATTTTGGATTTCACAAAAACCTGATCTATTCAAAGACATAAAACACATGGGTAAACCTTCATACCTACTTTTAAATAATCTGGTACAATTTCAGCAATCATAATACTCAGCAATTGCTTTTTGGCAGTGATCCAAACCTACGTACAGCTTTTCATTTTCCAATGGATATTCTCAGTACCTCAAACATGCAAATGATATCATACAAACAATTACATGGGAATCACAACACAATTAAATACATCAATTTACAGTTCCAACTACATTCAAACTACCATATAACACAAAATACCAATTCTATATCTAGTTATTTCTGAAAATCTATTGGTCTTCTTGCTGCTTTCACCAGTGGCGTAGCGTGGGTTGTCAGCACCCGGGGCAAGGCAAGTAATTTGCGCCCCCTAACCCGTGGATTTATAGGGGACGTGGGTGGCGCTGTGGGTAAAAGCATCAGCGCCTAGGGCTTGCCGATCGAAAGGTCAGCAGTTCGAATCCCCGCGACGGGGTGCGCTCCCGCTGCTCGGTCCCAGCGCCTGCCAACCTAGCAGTTCGAAAGCACCCCCGGGTGCAAGTAGATAAATAGGGACCGCTTACTAGCGGGAAGGTAAACAGCGTTTCCGTGTGCGGCTCTGGCTCGCCAGAGCAGCGATGTCACGCTGGCCACGTGACCCAGAAGTGTCTCCGGACAGCGCTGGTCCCCGGCCTCTAGAGTGAGATGGGCGCACAACCCTAGAGTCTGTCAA